CACAGAGGGTAAATTCGCTGAAATAGGTTGTACAGACTCAACTCTACCGTATCGTTTGCGCACGTTTGAAATACGTGTACAGAAGTGTACATCAAGAAGTTCATCAAGTGCAAATGACCCTCAAGACGACTATTCCATCCGCACATGCACATGGAAAAAAAGTGCCCCTTGCAAGACCACGAGTTTCAATCAGTAGAGGGGGTTACCAAGTGTCCTATATTTGTTTTTGCGTTTGTAGACACATTTCAGCCGTCAGATGCGGAACTGGTATTTCGCAACCGTGCAGATTCATCGCCCTACGCGTACCTTTCAAAGGAGTACGCATCGGCAAACCCAGCCCGTACACAAGAATATGCAGCTACTGCAAAAGATCTGTCCCAAGCCGGCGGAGCGTATGCTTAACTAAACGTGTTGACATAAAACAGGACGTGCTTAGGCAAAAAAAATCCCCGTGCAAAATTTAGCACCAAACGCCGCAAGACATTTTTCTAACCCAACCACCTTCCCTTAACATAGGATTTTTTCCAAACCAAATGTTAAAACTTAAAACACTTAACGCACACTTCAAAGCACACCTAACGCAAAGGGTGCACACCTAACTCTGCCCACGAACAAGATCTGCACACGAAGATTGCCAAACCTGGCAAACGTGAGAATGCACGTGTGAGAATTTGGTTTGCGTATCTTGTCATCTTCGTATGATCTCAAAAGTTACTGCATCTGCGCGAAAAAAAAAATTGGTCGTGGACAAGTACATTTATCGTCATGCAGCCGATTACGTTTCTACTATCACGAAATATTTGCGTCCGCGCGAGATTGTTTTTGTTGTGGGAAGTACTAGTAGGGTTTTTAGTCGTGCGACCGATCACGCTTCAGACGAGGTGCATGTATGTACACGATGTGCAAAGGTTTTCAGACCCAACGTCACAGCAAAAGACAGTTAATGGTGTTTCCTGTTTTGCGTAACAGTAAGGGCAGAAATAGAAGTGTAGCACGAGATGGTACGGAAGGGGAGTATATCGGAGCGAGGGGCAGATGACTTCTGAGCAGCCAGCTGGAGGGGCTGCAGGGCAGCAGGCAGGGTTAGGGACGAGACAATGCAGGCGAAGCGCGGGTACACTAATGGCAGCGAAGCTGGGGTTTCACGTGACACAGGCGAGGCTGCACAGCTGGTGCCGGAGGCATGGAGGGTTGGGGAGGAAGAACGGCTGGGATCAAACCTGTACATAAGTGGGCTGGATGTGCGATCAGGATGAACTGCATGTCGGATGTTGCAAGTGCCTGTTTTGTTCTTGTGAATGTGGATGGCATGTGCGTGCAGGTTGTAGGAGTGCCTCACGCCCTCCGCGAGTGCCCAGGAGCTAGCTGAGAATTGTGTTGTACATAGGCAGCAAAGTTTACTGGTTCCCTCGCTTGTTTGTTTGTTTTCTCATAGTGCTGGAGTGGTGTGTGCTCTGAAATCTCAGCCTAACTAGCCAGTCGATGGAGTAGATAACTTTTTCGACAAACAAACAAGGCAGGGAACAGAGCTGCTGTATGCAGCTGAGGTCCGGACGGACGTACCTGCCTGATGTGAAAGGAGGTAACGCGACGTCGGACGAGATGCATGAGCCGGCGGGAACGGGGACCCGCGGAGAGGGTGAACGCGGTAGAACATCAGTAGGAACCGCAGTGGAGGAAGGAGAGCTCTATCGCATCCCTCCGAGGCGGCGGAGTCAAGGCGATCTGCTGGCGGGGATGAGCGACGAAGGTGCACAGCGAGGGGGCGGCCCAGACACAGGGGCGCTGCAGCGGAGCGGATCAGTAGGACGCCAACGGTGGTCAGCCGCATCGGCCGAGGCGAGCCAAGAAGATCGGGGAGATGCGACGGCGACACGGCAAGGAGAGAAGTGGCGCTATATCAACCTGCCTAAAATCAAAGTTCTAGAACGGTTCTTCGGGCAGGCAGGGAGCGGTGCAGACCTGAGGAACTACCTGATGCAGATCGACAACGTGCGCTATCGCTGGGAGAGAGACGGGCTGGAGGCAGAAGAGTTCTTCCGCGGATTACCGAACACGCTAGCGGGAGAGGCCGAGACATATTACCGAATTTCCAGGGAGGATCTGCTGCGCAAATACCGCGAGCGAGGCAGCCGAGACTGGGGAATAGTGGAGGAGTTCCTCGGGAACCTTCGACGACAGTTCCCAGTGCAGACCCCAGAGAAGGTGCAGCAGTTCGCACGTTTCGAGCGGCGTGACGACGAATCACTGCTGAGCTACTACGGGCGGCTAAAGGAGCTGGCGCTGGACATGGAGTGTGCGGATGAACGGCGCCTGGTTAGCAAGTTCTTGAATGGGCTGGACAAGAACATGGTCAAAGAGCTGCGCAGAAAAGTGTTCGAAATGGGGTGGAAGGCCACGCTACAGGAAGTGTACGATTTAGCGTGTCGTTACGAAACAGGGCTCAAGCTGTACGAGCTGGAGAGGGCGGAGGCCGGGGGAACCGAGCGACGACGGGGAGTATGGATGGCGAGTCCTTCGGCCGAAATAAAACCACGCGACCCAAGTCCGGGAGTAGACAGAAGGAGATGCCACCGCTGCGGGCAGATAGGACATATTCAGCGGGACTGCGAGCAAGCGCCTCGATGTGACACCTGCGGCGAGACGGGTCATCTGCGCAGAGAATGTCCGAAGAGTCCAACGTGCAAGAACTGCGGAAGAAAAGGGCACAGGGAGGCGGACTGCTACGCGAAGCGTCCGCCGAAAGGGAGGAACAAGAGCCGCGGAGAACTCGAAGAAGAGATGAGGAGGCTGAAGGAGCAACTGGAAGAAATGGGAGGAGAGGAGAGAGGCGCCGGTGCGATGTTCGTCGGGGCCGAAGAAGAGGAGGACACGGAAAGCAATGCATCGTTCGCGCTGATGGCAAGACCAGGAGTGAGGAGAGAGGAACGACGGCAGAGAGGCGACGGAGTGCTGCGAGCGAACTTCCCGGGAGATTGGCTCGCCAGGGAGGAGCAGCGCGAAGAAGATCCGGAGTTTGACGATGAGGCCTTCCGGCACCCCAAGGAACGCATGCTCTGCCAGTCAGCTGTGCTGGTGGCAGCCAAGGGATCGGTCGCGGTGGGGGGCATCCTGGTAGAGATGGCAATCGTGGACACAGGATCACACCACGTGCTCATTGGCAAGGGGCTCGCGGAATAGATGATGCTGCAGGAAGAAGGCAGGCTCAAGACGAGAGGATTCTCGGTAATGACCGCGGAAGGAGGAGAGGCGAAGTGGCTGCCCTGTACCAAAGAGGAGGTGGAGATAGTGTGGAAGCCAGGAGAGCGTGATGAATGCAGGGTGAAACTGGTCTGCGGAGTCACCGAATCCGAAGACTATGATCTGCTCATGGGCATGCGGCTCTTATACGCGGTGGGCGCCACGATATGCACGTGGCAAGAGAAGATGGTGTATCGCCCTCGATTCTGGCGACCGGGTGGGCCGAGGGGAGTCCTGCCAGTGAGATTCGTACACCAAGAGCCCAAGGGAGCTTACCAGGCAAGGATGGTGGAGTTGGAAGACCAGCTCGGGGAGATGAGTTGGTACGAAGCAGAGGCTGAGCTGACCGCGGCAAGGCAACGAGAGGCGTGGGCGGAGAGGAAGGAAGTGATACCCAGGGAGATACTGGATAAGCGCATCCTGCAGAAGCCGATCCGCATGGTGGAACTGTTCGGAGGGCTGGGGACGGGGCTTGCTGCAGCCCTGAAAGCCGGATGGAGGATAGAAAGGTGGACATACGTGGAGAAGAACACTCGTGTGCGAAAGATGGCGCGACACCACATGGAAATGCTGAGGAGGACCTACCCGGGACAGGTTCTGGAGGGGGCCACAGAGTCGAACTGGGAAGGAGCGCCACTAGACATAAGGGAGATCACAGAGGCGCACGTGGCGGCATGGGGAAGGGTGGACGTCTTGATCGCGGGCTGGGAGTGCCAAGGAGTATCCAGAGCCGGCCTCGAGCTGGGACTGGAGGATCACAGGACGGCATTGTTCGAAGACATGGTGCGAGTGATGCAGGTGGTGCATCGTCTTCACGGCGAGTATCTGTACGAGGAGCAAGGTGCCACCGGGACCGCCGCTACTGGCAAAACGGCATATCGGAGGCCAGGATGCAGCTGGAACTCTCCAAGATCAAGAGGCCGGAGGCCAGACTGGTGCGAGACATACTGGAGCCGCAGAGGCAAGAAGCGCCGGTGAGACACCGGGATCACCCCGCGCACTACCCGTGCAACACGCCCGGAGAACCGAGGCAAGCCTGGCCAACCATGGTGGCGTATCCGGGATCATACGCGTTTCAGAAGGTGGAAGGAGTACCGGGGCCGGGGATGGTGAAAGACCTGAGGACAGGAGAGTGGGGGGAACCAACTGCCCTAGAGCGGGAGCTGGCTATGGGGTTCCTGCCAGGCTCCACAGCAGCGGAAGGAATCGCAGAATGGGAGCGGCGGCGAGCATTGGGACAAGCCATGGACGTGCAAGCGATGGAATGGATACTACACACGATAGAAGTTCAGTTGCTGCTCTGGGACATGGAGATACGGGTGGAGGAGAAGGAATGGTGGGCCGAAGGAGACGGGCCCAACAGCGAGGCAAGAGGGACGCTGGACAACGAGAAACGGAAACTGGAAGCCCTGACAGAAACCGAGGAAGAAATTCGCAAGAAGGGGTGGCCGCCCGAGGAGGACGATGTAAGCACCATCAGGAACCGGATGGCGAAGCGAAGCTGCACACAGAGCTTCATGGCCTTGACCAAGGAGGGCAGCACATCACTGCCCGGGGCAACGCCAGCAGCGGGCAGCGAGGAGAAGGAGTGGGAGATCGGAAGGGGACTGGATAGCGAGCAGGCGGAAGCAATGAGGCAGATGCTGAGACGTCACAGAGGAGCATTCGCTTACACGCTTAAAGAGCTAGGGCGGAGCAAGGTCGGCGAGATGAAGATCTAGTTGACAACCGATGTGCCCACCTTCCAAAGAAAGAGGAGGATGACGCATGCAGACGAGGAGGTGTGCCGGGAGAAGTGCAAAGAGCTCCTGGAGGCCGGGCTAATCAGGAGGTCAACTTCAGAGTACGCGGCAGCAACAGTGGTGGCGGCAAGAAAGGACATGACAGGAGAAGTTCTCTCTAGGAGGATGTGCGGAGACTACTGCGACCTAAACAAGATCACTAAGGCAAACCGCTACCCGATGCCGACGCCAGAAGACATCTTCGACAAGCTCGTGGGGGCAGTGGTCTTCTCAACGCTAGATCTACGGCAAGGATTCAATCAGATCCAAATTCGCGAGGAGGACAAAGCAAAGATCGCGTTTCATGGCGTGGACGAACTCTGGGAATGGAACGGCATGCCCTTTGGGATGAGAAACGCCTCGGCAATCTTCCAGCAAGTCATGGATACCATTCTGCGGGGCATAGAATGCGCGGCGTGCTATATCGATGACGTAATCATCTTTAGCAAGGACGCCGAGAGCCACGTGGCGGATGTGGAACAGGTGCTGGGGGCAATCAGGGAAGCGGGGATGACATGCCACCCGAACAAGTGCAGATTCGGGGAGCAGACCGTGCGCTATCTAGGGTTTGAAGTAGCTGACGGAACCCTGTCAATCTAGGAAGCGAAAGTGGCAATCCTGGACAAGGTGGCTGCACCAACTGATCGTAGCCGGCTACGAGCAGTGCTTGGCTTCCTGAGCTACTACCGTAAGTTCGTGCCGAACTTCAGCCGAAGGGCTGCGCCGCTGAACCATCTGCTGAGGGAGAGCACGGCCTGGAAGTGGGGGGAAGAGGAGCAACGAGCGTTCAAGGACCTACTGAGGGCTGTCAAGACAGGGCCAGTACTGGTGCTACCCAGGCGGGACCAACCGTTCGTGCTCTACACCGACTGGAGCAGCCTAGGCATAGGAGCGGTCCTTTGCCAAGAGACAGAGCAGGGTGAGAGGGTAGTGGCATTCGCCAGCAGGAGCTGCAGCCCCACGGAGGCGAACTACAGCTCGTACGAAGGGGAGGGATTGGCGGCGGTCTGGGCGGTGAACCATTTCCGAGTATACCTGCAAGGAACGCCTTTCACGCTCGTGACGGACCATCAGCCGTTGACATGGCTGATGACGAATCAGACCCTGACAGGAAGGAACGCGAGGTGGACGATGCAGCTCCATGATTACGACTTCAAGATTCGGCACCGGCCGGGCAAGACGCTGCAACACGTGGATGGGCTATCCCGGAACCCGCCCCCAGCGGGGGACGAAGAGCAAGAGAAGGAGGAGGGAGAGTCCCCCGCGGCATGCCTGGTGGCCCTGGCAGGGGGCATGCGGGAGACAGAGGCCGAGAGGCATAAGGGAAAAGGACCGGAGGACATATGGCATGACCAGGAGGCGCTGAGATGGGTGAAGGGGGAAACGGAAGTGGAAGAGGAAGTGAGCGAAAGGGCTAGATCCAGGGGTCAGCACTACAGGTGGTACCAGCAGCAGCTGCAGGTGCAGAGCAAGGAAGGGTGGAAAATGGTGCCGGCACCAAGCGAGCGGAAGGAGCTCATAGAGAAGGTGCATAACCAACTTGGCACTACGATCATGTGAGGACCGCGCAGCTGGTAAACACGAGCTGGTGGTGGGCGGGATCACACCGACAAGTGAGGGAGGTGGTGGCAGAATGTGAGCTTTGCAGCCGCAACAAGGCGCAGCTAGAGCACGAGCAGCAAGAGCTCCAGTCGCTGCCCATCATGAATCTGGGGTATAGGTGGTCGCTGGACCTGGCAGGAGAGATGCCGCTGAGCAGGAGGAACAAGCGGTACGTGCTGGTCATGATAGAGCACGTGTCCAAGTGGGTGGAAGTGAGGGCCCAAAGCAGCAAAAACGCGGAGCTGATCGCCGAGGCATTCACCGACCAGGTGCTGACCAGGTTTGGCGCTTGCGGGGAAGTCCTGACAGACCAGGGTACAGAGTTCAAGGGGGCATTTGATAAGCTACTAGCAGAAGTAGGGATCAAGCATCGGCGTACCTCGCGGTACCACCCACAATGGGATGGCCTGACTGAGAGGATGGTGCAAACGATCAAGAAAGGGTTACGTGCGTATGGGGAAGGGCACAAGCGGGACTGGGACCAAGAATTGCATTGGGTGGTAGCGGGGTACCGCTTCAGCAAGCAGGCCGCTCTGAGGGATTACTCCCCGTACTACCTGCTGTACGGGAGACAGCCCATGCTGCCAGTGAACTCACCGAAGGTACTGACGGACGTGGTGAAAGCGGGAACGGCGGAGAATTGGGCGGCTTTGGCAGATTGCAGGACCAGGTACCTAAAGAAACTGATGCCGGCGGCGCTGGAGAACCTGCACACTGCCCAGCTGAGAGACGCCAAACGCTATCAGCAGCGGCAGCTGCAAGTAGGAAAAGGGAAGGGCAAGCCAGTGGAAGACGGAACTGAGGTATACATCCGGAAGGCGAAAAAGGACATGCTAGATGTGGGAGTGTCAGAGGAGAGGTGGGTGGTGAAGGAGGTGAAGCCGTCAGGGGTGCTCGTGTTGGAAGCGGAGGGAAGACAACAACGGAAGGATCACATCAAAAACGTGGCCAAGGCAGTAGGGAAAAAGACGGGGAAGGTTCCTCAAGACCGGCAGCAGGAGCCCAACCGGTCACGGAAGGGGGCAAGTGGTTAAGGCAGGGGAGTACACCAAGGAGCTGCAGGCAGCGGGGCAGAGAAAGAGGTGCAAGTGCAGAGCAGAAAGAAGCAAAGAGGAGAGCAAAGAGAGGCAGAATCACAGGCAGGGAATAGGGTGGCGGCAAGACACAGGGTGAGCAGGAGAAAGGGGAGAGGAAGCAGCCGGGGGAGCCTATGGCATGCGACAGCTATCACAGCAAAAGACAGTTAATGGTGTTTCCTGTTTTGCGTAACAATAAGGGCAGAGACAGAAGTGTAGCACGAGATGGTACGGAAGGGGAGTATATCGGAGCGAGGGGCAGATGACTTCCGAGCAGCCAGCTGGAGGGGCAGCAGGGCAGCAGGCAGGGTTAGGGACGAGACAATGCAGGCGAAGCGCGGGTACACTGATGGCAGCGAAGCTGGGGTTTCACGTGACACAGGCGAGGCTGCACAGCTGGTGCCGGAGGCATGGAGGGTTGGGGAGGAAGAACGGCTGGGATCAAACCTGTACATAAGTGGGCTGGATGTGCGATCAGGATGAACTGCATGTCGGATGTTGCAAGTGCCTGTTTTGTTCTTGTGAATGTGGATGGCATGTGCGTGCAGGTTGTAGGAGTGCCTCACGCCCTCCGCGAGTGCCCAGGAGCTAGCTGAGAATTGTGTTGTACATAGGCAGCTAGGTTTACTGGTTCCCTCGCTTGTTTGTTTGTTTTCTCATAGTGCTGGAGTGGTGTGTGCTCTGAAATCTCAGCCTAACTAGCCAGACACGAGAAGCCAGTCGATGGAGTAGATAACTTTTTCGTAGTGGGTAAGGCAGGGGAGTACACCAAGGAGCTGCAGGCAGCGGGGCAGAGAAAGAGGTGCAAGTGCAGAGCAGAAAGAAGCAAAGAGGAGAGCAAAGAGAGGCAGAATCACAGGCAGGGAATAGGGTGGCGGCAAGACACAGGGTGAGCAGGAGAAAGGGGAGAGGAAGCAGCCGGGGGAGCCTATGGCATGCGACACCAATAGAACCTAAGCTTAACAAGACATGTTAACAGAAAACAGAACGCGGAAAGGCAAACTCACCCCGTGCACAAGGTAGAAGGAAAACACAAGTGCTGGAAAATATTTTTCCAGCACAGTGGATCACGTGCTTAATACACAATTCGCACAGGGTTAAAAGTCCCTACCATGCAAAGCGCTTGCGCTTGTAAAAAAGACGTGTGCATAGGGTGCGCGTGTACAGTTTTAGTCGAGCACGCTAACAAAGGTGCCTTGTATGGCCAGCCCAGATGCACACGTGCGTCACATGTGGCAACAAAAGTTGCGCGTGGGGCTGAACAAGCCCTGCGCACAGTACACGTGACGCAGGTTCTGCTGCAGTGTCTCCGACGATGTGTATGTGTACAGTACCCAATCTCTTTGGGTCGCAACATGTCGTTACGTTAGGCAACCGATCGTGCCTCTGACGAGGTGTAGTTGTGCACACGAAATTATTTTGTTGTCTGTGCGCGAGCACGAAATGAAATGCGTCCGCATGAGTAAAATTATTCTTCCCCATAAGATGTTATTTGTCGTGCTTGCTCACAAAGGTACGCATACATTTTGTCGTGCGTGCAGATGAAGATGCACGGGCAGATACATGTTATGCATGAGAGAACTCTTCGCATGCAGTCGACCTTGCCTCTGACAAGGTGTGTTGACATAACTGTTTTTGTCGTCTACGTGCGAGGACGAAATTGACTGCGTCCGCGTGTGGTTGATCGCGAGTACGTACATTTCTTGTCTTGATCACGATGTTTTTTTGTTGTGCGCGCTGACGAAGTTGCACGGGCAGAGGCATCTAGTGCATGAGAACATTTTTTTTTTCCTCGGTCAACATGCTTTCCATCGTTATTTGTTTCAACGAAGTCATGTTTTACTGGTTCAAGAGTGTTTTTGGAGTGTATTCTTTGTTGCGCTTAAAGAGTTTTGTCCAAATGAGCCATCCGTAACACATGTCGCAATCTCGTGACGAGATGATTTCGTTGCTCGCGTGGACGCGTGGTTACTCGCCAGATGTCGAAAAACCCTAACCCCGTTGAGATGTATTCTCGGGGTTGTCTCTCTCTTTTTTTTTTTTTAATAGAAGGCTTTTCACTATATCAGGGATACAGCAAAAGGGGCCACAGTCGTAACTGTTGAGAGGAGGGGGGCAATTACACAATAATGAGAGAGCCACCCCTCAGATGCATCTACGGCGGTTTGTACCTGGCTCTCCGGGCCATCCAGATCGACAGAAAATCTTCCCTCCACGTCAGACTGCTGGCCGCCCTCGTGCTGGCATTTTTCAGCGCTGCAGCTTCATCACTGGCCAGATGCTGTTTGGCCACGTGCCTCCTCTTGATCCACGCCTTCCTCCGCTTGATGCCTTCGTAAGTGCGCGCATGCAGGCAGAATGTTGTCGCGATCCTCCGCATTACCTTCCCGCACTGGAACTTCCGCCCCCTGAAAACCGCGTTACAGCGCTCCACCCAGATTTGATGGAATGTAATAGCCGAAACCGTCAGTTCTGGAAAACCGGAAGCGGTCCCCCCGCACTGGAACAGCAGGTCACCAAGTGACCTCGCCCTCCGCGCTGGATTGAACCAACGAATCGCATCCTTGAGAGCCCCCACCACCGGCTGAATAACCCGGCAGGAGAACAATGCATGGTCCACCGACTCTGCCTCCCCGCAGTGCAGACATTTCGCCCGCTCCCCCAAGAACTTCAGGCGATCCCCCACCTGCAGGTTGAAACAGTGGGCTCGCAGCAGGACATCCCGCGCCTTTGCGGGGACCACATGAGAGTCTCTGCACGCAATCGTCTGCTTCCAGTCAATTTTCTTCCCCCACAATTGCTCCTACTCTGCACGGCGAGGCAGCTTGTCCGGCTGCTTGCGCCTCACCCCCAATCCTTTTCTCAGCTGCTTCAGTGAGGCCGCTAGCTTACCCACACAGAGCTCCGATTTTAGTAGCCTGCTGCGCGGTTCGCCCAGCTCCCCGACCACCTCGCCCCCCATCACCGCCATCGGCGTGACTTCCGACACGGACAGCGTCTTAACCCTCGCTCCTTCGGGCACGAACCACGACTTCCCGTCCTCGTGCAGGCACATCTTCACACAATAGAGCAGGTTGCCGAAGGCCCTTTGGAATTGCCACAACTTTATTCCTCTCGTCGTCGTTCTCACCACCGCTGTGGCTTGTGCCAATTCCTCCGACGTGAGCGGCTTCAAGACCCGCACCTTCCAGTCGTCCCTTAGCGCCTCCATGACCGCCATGGCTACCTCTGCTGCCTGCTTGCTGCCCAGGTCACGGACCAGACGGTCTGATGATTTCCAGCTCCTGGTACCATCTGCCCACTTCATGAGCAGGTCCCCCACCATTATCTCATGGAGGCCCTCGTCCCCCTTGCGTCGTCCAAAGGGGTGGCTGCCATCACGCAGGATGTGTCTGTTGAAGAGCACCCGCTCCTTCTCGATATCCCATCTGCTTCCTACCGCCAGGTTCATGACAATCGGCGACTTCATCGCCGCCGCTGCAATTGCTTTCCACCGTTCACTCCCTGTGCCCCACGCTTTCAGCAGTGCCTCATGCGCGAGGAGGGAGGCATAGCCAAGTGGGAAGTCCGCCGCACGCTCTGCCAACAACCGCCGCTGCGGCATTTCCTATGTGAGCAACTGCGCCAGCGAGTGCAGCGCCTCAGCATCCAACCGGTCCTTCAAGTTTATCACCCCGAGCCCCCCTTCTTCTCTTCCGAGCTGCATGAGATCCCCATTCCAGAGAATGAAGCCCGGCTCCGAGCTCGCACGTCCCCCGGAGACAAAGGCGTGGCACAATCTCCTCAGCTCCTCCCAAATCGTGTCCGGCGGGGGGTAAATCTGCGCCTGGAACAACGCGATGGGCATGATATATGCGTTGACCACTGTTACCCGCGCCATAGTGGTAAGAAACTTCGCCTCCCATTTCTTCAGCTCTGCTTCCATTCTGCTTAAAGCTTTCTTCCATGACGGCTTTGCGTCTCCTCCCGGTGTGATCCAGACCCCCAGCAGACGCTCCGGGTCATCCCTCGACGCCCACTTGAAGGCCCCATCCGCAGGCGGTAAAATACCGCGCTGCCTCCCTAGCGGCAGCACCACCGACTTGTCCCAGTTGACTGCCAGCCCCGACATCTTCTCGAACTCCTTCAGCAGCAGCTCCGCGTCCCCCAGCTGCGAACGGCCATTCAGCAGCAGGGTAGTGTCATCAGCGTACCCCAGGTAAGTCATTCTTCCTGCATCCTTAACGCTAATTCCTAACCACCTCCTCCTCGCCTCCTGGCAGAAGGGCTCGACCGCGCACAGGAACAAGTACGGCGCAAGGGGACACCCCTGCCTCACCCCGGTTAAGACTGGGACCTCCTCCCCCAACCAGCCGTCGTTGCAGATACGGGTCGCTGCACCCTGATGCAGCCCCTCCACCCACTTCACGTAAGTCTCCGGGAAGCCCATCTTCCGCAGCACGTCAAACAGGTACCCACGCGCCACCGAGTCGAAGGCCTTGCGGAAGTCAACCAAGAGCATGAGCCAGTCCTCCTGCCCTGCGTTCGCAGCGTCAATCACGTCTTCCGCAACCGCCACCGCGCCAGCGATGCTCCTTCCGGGTAAGAAACCGAACTGCCCCGTTGACACCACGCTCTCCAGCTTGTTTCTTATCCGGTTCGCCAACACCTTTGCAATCAGCTTGTACACCGTGCTTAACAGCGTAATCGGGCGGTAGTTCTGTAGGTCATCCTTGGCACCCTTCTTATGCAGGAGCACAGTTACCGCGGTTGAGAATTCCTTAGGGAGTGCCCCCGTCCATTCAAATTCTTTCAGAAACTGCATCATCTGTCCCCCCAACAGGTCCCACTGCGACTCCCAGAGCTCCTTCGGGAGACCATCACGGCCCGGCGTCTTACCCGGTGCCATCTCCGCCAGCGCACGCTTGACCTCCGCCTCTTCCCAGGGCGCACTGAGCCCGCCACGTCCTCCAGGGAGAGGCGCTTGTCCACCGACCACTCCAGCTGCGTGTCCGCACCCGCTGCGAACAGTTTGGTGTAGAAGGCCGACGCGGCAGCCAGCGCCTCCTTCGCCCCCTCATACCGGGACCCCTGATACAGAACATCCGCCAGGCGTGTCTTAGCCTTCCGCGCCTTAACTCTGGATGAGAGGTAACCTGTGGGGGCTTCCCCGTTCATTTCCATCTTAATCCCTGCCTGCTCCTGTAGCTTACGACGCCTCCCTTCCACATAGGCCTTAAGCTTCGCTTCACATCTTGCCAGGCGCGCCTTCGCCCGCGGGCAGCGAGGTTTGCACATCACCTGCTGCCTCAGCTCCCCGACCTCCCGTTCCAGGTGCGCTGTCGTAGCCGCAACCCGCTTCCTCTCTTCCACGGTGTAGGCCTTGAGGCCCACCGTCAGAGACGCCATCAGCGCCTCCAGATCTCCTCCTCTTTCTGCGTTTTTCCTAACGATCTGCTCCACCCGCCGCTGTACCCCAGGACGCGGCACTTGCGACGCCGGAAGCCTCCAGAGCCCCGGACCAGACTCTCCGTCTCCCCCCGCACTGAGCTGCAAGTGGACCGCGGACCAGTGGTCCGTGAACTTCTTGGTCAACCCCACATGCCGCACATCATGAATTTGATGAATCAGCGCATTCGAGAGGAGAATCCGGTCAATCCTTGTACTCTCCTGCACCGCCGCTGCGTAAAAGGTGTACTCCCGCAGACAGGGATGGAGCGCCCTGAAGGCATCTCGGACATCAAAGCTGCTGCAGATGGACATTAACCTGTCATTCTCCCCCCTTGAGCCCAGCCCCGACGTCTTATCCAGTGCTGGATCTTCAATAATGTTTAAATCCCCTGCCAACAGCAGATGGCTCCCAGCCGGTATTGCCTCCAGGAACGGCTTAAGCACATCGCGGAAGAAAGGAGACCGTGCCGTTGGGCTCGCCGGGAAATAAGCCGCGACAACCGTCACCGTCACACCGCGCCATGCCATGGTTACCCGCACCAGACGCCCTGAAGCATCCCTGACCACATCCGAGCACGAAACTTCATTATTGCGTAAGACTATCGCCACCCCCCCAGCTCTTGCTGTAGGCGTCGCCGCTACTACTGTATCTGCTTGAAGCCGATTCCAGAAAGAGTGAGTTTCCGCAATCCGTGTGTCTGCTAGTATTGCTACATGCGCCGCGTCTCTTATCCAGTCCTGAGCGTCTTGCTGTTTCTGCGGACAGCCGAGACCGTTGACATTCAGGACGCTGAAGGTGAGGGTGGTGCGTTTACCCATTTGGAACCTGCGTTAGGCCCCTAAGCATCCACGGGCCGGAGGTGAGGGTGTTGCTGGGAGCCTTCGTTACTGCATTTATACTCCAGACAGGTACAGGTACAACGACACTGATAAATCTCCTACTCCATGACATCGGTGCACTTCTCAGCCCACTGCACGCCTGAATCACTTCCCCTTCGCCTTTTCCGCACGAATCCCGTACAACTTTTTCGCTGCCTGCAGGCTCAGCTTCGCCTTGGACGCACGAGTCGCAACACCCGCCGACCCCAACGCCGCACCATGGCTGAAGGAGCCGATGTGAGCCGCTGCCTGGGCAAAGGTATTCCCATGCGCACGCTCGCAACACTCCTGAACGCAGAGCCACTCCTCCACTTTGGCTCCCGTTGAGATAAGAACCAGCGCCGGGTCTCGGAGGATCTTCCTCACCACCCCTGCCGACTGGAGGGAGGCCGCTGCAGGAGATACCCATTACCACGCCATCAGTAAGCAAAACAGGAAAGCTGATGCACAGGTGAGAACCCCGAGATAAGCTCCCCCCCCTGTTACCATTGATCGTGTGAACCCTGCCTAAAGACAGGTTCCATTTGCCGATGTTGTTACGACGCTCATGCACATACTCATTATGCAGCTTATCCATGTGCGGTCCCTGGCAAAAGCAGCAGGACAGCGACGGATAGTGCACGAGGTACGTCACATCAGTGAGCGGGTCTTCCACCACGTGACGCCAGCGATACTTGTCCCCGGGATGCGGAACGACCAGGCCACGAATCTTATCGGTATCCAACCCTGAGACCAGGTCAACCACGCGGTGAAACCCCGCTCCCTGCAGGAACGCCGAACGGCCGCGCTTCTGCAGCGGCGCGACCACTAGCGACTCGTAGACAATAAGCGGTGTGATTTCCGCCGGTATCCCCTTAAGCAAAATTCCACCCCCTCCGGTAGATCGCTCTTCGCCTTCAGGAAAGTGCGGTTGACCGGGTGCAGCCAACCGAAATGGTGCTTCGTGGTTCCGACAACGTGCTCCACCCGGTGCTGACGCACCACCTCCGCATCAGCGGCCGTGGCGAGCGTGACTTGAAGGCAGCATAAATGGATGTGCGACAGGTACGTCGGTAGCAGCTCCTGAAACGCGAGACCATCCAGTGCATTATCCGACAGCTTCTTCCGCAAGTAGACCAGTAGAGCCTTCACTGATGGCTTCACCGCAGGCATCTCCTTCTCCAGCTCGAACGGGGTCAGGAGCGTCAGCGTGGCGCGCGTCTTAGACGCTAGCACCCCCTTGGCCTTCGCCTCGATTCCTTCGTCTGAGTCATCACTTAAGTAGCCGTCATCATCATCCTCTTCATCATCCTCCCCCCCAGCAGGCGCGTGCTCAGCCGCAACAGCAGGCGAAGGCGCGACGGGTACTGGGACCGAGTTCGCAGAGGCCATCCCTGACCCAGGAGAGGCGAGGCCTGCACCAGGAGCGGTAGAGGCCGGAAGAACCGCGCTTGCCTCAACACCAGTCGCCTGATCCCGCACCGGAGCATTAGACTCCTCTGGAGACGTCATGTTAGCAGCAGCCGCTGTAGCCCTGGTCGAAACTGGCATGCTGATGCTTGCAGGAGCTGAGTTGTGAAGACCGCTAATGAGCAGTCCCCGACTTGCAAGCAATATATAGAAATCCAGTTTCTTCCGTGACTTCCATTCCCGAGGTATTAACGGAGAGCGAAAACCCCAGGATGACTCCTGTTCCTGTGAATGTCTCGGATACGTGTCAGTTTCAGATGCCTGGAAACCATTGTCCGTAGATAAGGCTGGCTGAACTTCAATCACGGAGCGACAGCACAGAGCTCTGCAGATCCGAGGCGAGGTAAGACACATTGATAATACCATTGGGCGACTTGACCGGCCAGAAAGCAGTGACCTGGCAGAACCTAGGGAAGACCTGGACCATTTGCCTGGAACTCGATAAGCGTGAAGGATACCCGCTTGGTGGGTACAATTTGTAGGTACGCCTATAGAGTAACTCAAGCTGCATCTAATGGTTTAGTCCATGTCGAGAATAGGGTCCGTTAGCCTAGACATTGACTGCTTCGAAGCGCACGGCAAGATCCATGGCGGAGAGCTAAGGTTGGATTCTTGGGGTTGTCTCAACGGATTTTGCATCCGTCGCTCCCGTCGCTCGCCCCTGCATGTTGAGCAGCAGTTTGGCACCCATTCCGTCGCTGTCCGTCGTTGGTCCCAAGGGGGGCCAGGTGTTTCCCCTTCATCCCAACCTTCCCGTTGAGATGAACCAGTCTGACATGACAACATTGCCGTGATTCTTATCATTCCTCCCTCCCAACTGAACGCCTCCGCGCCACAATTCCCGCCGCCTGTGCCGCATTTACCCCCGACTCGGCGGGCTACAAAGGTTCAGGAATCAGGATCGATCTTTGCTCGCGCTGGTAACCCGTTCCTGATCTCTCTTGCCACTTCGTTCCTGTTCAATAGTTGACGAGTCGATTTTTGAGTCTAGAAAATTTCCCCATAAAGTCGGCAACTGATCTTCAGTGCCAGTTCGTTCCTCATACCAGTTTCGCCAGCAGTAGCGCGGTTCGTCAACTCTCTCGTGCTAACCATCAGTTGGCGGATTTTTCGTTTAATGCGCCTTAAATTTCCTCATCAGCTGGCCATTCCGGGACTAATCTCCGCTGTTGAATCAGCCGAATGCGATCCCTCGCCTCTGGTTCCCTCCTGGTTGCAAAGTGACCATAGAGTTTCCTCAAATGCCTGTTCCCGATTGCGTCACTTCATTTTAGAATCACTCGATTACTATCCTTTTCTTCACATTCCTGCCTGATCGCGACGTGACTGTAGAGTCGACTCAAATGCCTGCTGCCGTTGGCCGCATTTCCCGCTAGATTCACGCGAATGCTACCCGTCGCCTCTCGCTCCCGCCGCCTGATCGCACGCCAGATCGTTCACCTAAGAACCATTCTCGAAGCGCGTCAAGCATCTCTCACCTCTCATTCGCAGTCCCATTTGATTCATCGCCAGTCCATTCTCCCTCCTATTACTCCTATTACTCCTATTACTCCTATTACTCCTATTGCTCCTGTTGCTCCTAAGGCCATGCGTTTCCTGCTCGGAGCGCGGGTGGTACATCCTGATCAGTGCTGCACCCGCGCAGCGCGTGTGCTGGTTAATCCCTTGAAGGAGATTAAGTCCCCCATAGGTCCTAGAGCCTTAGTCCCAACTTCTGTTTCGAATCGCGTCTTCCGAAGCAGCTGGGATGATAGCCGATACCAATCCAGGCAGATCTCCCGTAAATCACGGAATGTTGTACCACGCGGCACGGCTGCTAGTGGGATAAACCGAGCCGCTGCGAGATCCGCTATTAGTGGGGAGGCCACTGAGGCAGGCCCTGGAACGGTGACACGTCAGCTCGATGCCCTGCCACCTTTGGACACGTGTCAGCCAGTGGTTGGAGAGGGAGACTCGTCTGGTGGCGGGAAGATCCGGAAGCGGCGGGTGGCTCTGTGGGTGGGATACGTTGGGACGGAGTTCAGAGGTGGGCCCGGGGTTTTGGGTTTAAGAAGGGGTTCGGAGATTGTGAAGCGACTGCGAGGCTTAAAGCGGCAGTATACATTTGTCAGTGGGGGTCATTTCGGGTTTGTAAGTCCGCCTCACAGTTTTGGGGCAACTTTTCAAGTTCCTAAGGATTTTGAACCCCTCCTTTCAAATACTGGAGCTTTAAGAGATGGTTTCGGTTCGGCAGGTAGCTCAGGAGATTTGGAGGCGGCAGGTGACTCTCTGGGTGTGACTCTCTGGGTGGAATACGGTGGGACGGAGTTCAGAGGTGGATTCAAGATTCCGGGTTTTGCAGGGGAATTTAAGGATCAAGAGGAGGGTTCTAGGTGTGCTTTCTGGGTGGGAATCTGTGACGCCTCAAGACTTGTTTTCTGGGTGGGATACGTTTGGGACGGAGTAGGGATGGGGTTTCAGGTTACAAGGGGTTTAAAGGAATGTGAAGAGGCTGTGAGTCTTAGAAATGGCTCCGGCAGGAGGTTTAGGAGATCCGAAGGGGTTTAAAGTAATGCAAGGGGGTTAAAGGATTGCAAAGAGGCTAGCCTCTCTTCCACACACACGGCAGCGGATCCAGAGGGAGACTTTTGAGTCAACTCAAAAGTCGAAGAGGCTTATCTCTCTTCTGCATGCACGGCAGCTGATCCAGAGAGCAAGCCCGGTTCTTTAGTCGACTCAAAAATCGACTCATCACAGCGGATCCAGAGAGAAAGCCCGCTGCTGCTCCCTTCAGACGCCTCTGAGAATGAGAGTGCCTTTGATAACAGTGACTATTTAATAGTGACTATGAGGGCTGTGACAGTAACGGCAACACTACTCCTCTCCTATTCCAACCCTTGCTCCTCTCTCTCTCTCTCCCTTCGTCTCCTCCTCCCACAGGGCTGCAGATCCAGAGAGCAAGCCCGGTGCTGCTCCCTTCAGATGCCTCTGAGAGTGACTACGAGGACTGTGACAGTAACGAAGGGGAATCCAGCAGCAGCAGCCTTGCCAGCGCCCTTTCAACTGAGTCAGTACCGAGTGAGTTCGCAGATTACATATGTATGCCTCTCACGTTAATTATAATGTGACTCTAATGAAAGGGGGGCATTTGAACAGCAGTGGAGGGTTATTTGGAGCAGGCTTTACTGGCTTTACTGGCGGCGGCATGATGCTTCCCCATCGCCCATGCCCGCACCCGCTCCATCCCTCAATCTTCCCCCATCTCCCTCATCTCCCCTACTCCACCCCCCTTCATCCATCCAGCAGGGGAGGGCTAGCTAGAGCAGGCACTACTGGCGGTAATCATAACGCTGTCCTATCGTTGCCCACCCCCTCCCCTCCCCTCCCCCTCCCCCTCCCCCTCCCCTCCCCTCCCCTCCCCTCCCCTCCTCCTTCCCCATTGCATTGCACCCCATCACCTGGCATCCCACCCCGCCCCAATTGCTCCCACCCCAAACCCCTTCCCTCCTCAAACGGTGTAAATTTATCTGGAACAGGCTCTACTGGCGGCGGGGTGATGCGTCCCCATTCGGCATTCCCCATCCCCCATCCCCCATCCCCCATCCCCCATTCCCCCACCCACCCCAACCCCCTTCCTTCTTCAACTCCCCCATCTCTTCCCATCCCACTTCACTCACCCCCCCAACGCTGGAGGGATATCCGGAGCAGGCTTTACTGGCGGCGGGCATGATGCTTCCCCATTGCGCAGCTTTTCCCTGCCCACCCCCCTTCTCTCCCCCATCTCCTCCCCCATCTCGTCTCACATCTCCTCCCTTCCTCCCCTTCCCCCCCTCTCTTCTCCAGCGGTGGAGGGTTATCTGGAGCAGGCGCTACTGGCGGCGGGTATGATGCTTCCTAGCAACTTCGGGGATCTGTTCAAGATTGGGTGGAGCCGCAGCAGCAGGACGGACAAGGGGGTGAGTGAGTGGAGTGTGGTGGAGTGCGGTCAAATGGGGTGCAGCCCGGTGCAGTGTGATGCAGTGCAGTGCAGTAGAAAGTGTAATAGGTAAACCAAGCAATCTGGCCAAGATTGGGTGGAGGAGGAGTAGCAGGACGGACAAGGGGGTGAGTGGAGTGTGGTGCAGTGTGGTGCAGTGTGGTGCAATTTGGTGCGGTGTGCTGGTAGTTTACTGGGTAAGCTCTGAATGAGGGAGTGAGTGCGGTGAAGTGTGGTGCAGTGTGGTGCAGTAGGTGGTGTAATAGGTGTGCTATGCAAACTTGCTGTGATTGGGTGGAGCAGGAGCAGCAGAACGGACAAGGGGGTGATTGCAGTGCAGTGTGGTGCGGTGCAGTGCGGTGCAATTTGGTGTGGTGTGCTGGTGGTGTACTGGGCAAGCTCAGAATGAGGGAATGAGTGCGGTGCAGTGCGGTGCGGTGTGGTGCAATAGGTGGTGTAATAGGTGTGCTATGCAACCTGGCTATGATGGGGTGGAGCAGGAGCAGCAGCACGGACAAAGGGGCGAGTACAGTACAGTACAGTACAGTACAGTGCGGTGCAATGCGGTGCTGCAGGATCCTCTCAGAGAGTGCCCCTTGCCCCGCTTGCAACCTTTGCATCGTCTCACTCCTGTTCTCGATACCTTTCCCTTCCTCTCCCTTCCTCAGGTGCATTCAGTGGCAACGGTGGTGTCTGTGAAGCTCGAGTTGCCAGAGAGTGCCTTCCACAAGGGGCAAGCCCAGCAGCAGCAGCAGAAGGAGGAGGAGAGGGCATTCAACGTTCCATCTCGCTCTCCCTCTCCCTCGTTCTCTCCCTCTCCCTCGTTCTCTCCCTCACCCTAAACCCAAAACCCTCTCCCCTTCTCAGGTGCATTCAGTGGCAACGGTGGTATCAGTCAAGCTCGAGCTCCCACAGAGTCTCTTTCACAAGGGGCAAGGCCGGCAGGAGGAGGAGAGGGAGGGCCTGGCAGTAGCAGAGGCAATCAACGCGCATCTGCCCCCCTCGATTCGCGTGTTTGGCGCCGTTCCCGTCACCAAGTGAGTCACCAAGTGAGTCACCAAGTGAGTCACCAAGTGAGTCACCAAGTGAGTCACCAAGTGAGTCACCAAGTGAGTCACCAAGTGAGTCACCAAGTGAGTCACCAAGTGAGTCACCAAGTGAGTCACCAAGTGAGTCACCAAGTGAGTCACCAAGTGAGTCACCAAGTGAGTCACCAAGTGAGTCACCAAGTGAGTCACCAAGTGAGTCACCAAGTGAGTCACCAAGTGAGTCACCAAGTGAGTCACCAAGTGAGTCACCAAGTGAGTCACCAAGTGAGTCACCAAGTGAGTCACCAAGTGAGTCACCAAGTGAGTCACCAAGTGAGTCACCAAGTGAGTCACCAAGTGAGTCACCAAGTGAGTCACCAAGTGAGTCACCAAGTGAGTCACCAAGTGAGTCACCAAGTGAGTCACCAAGTGAGTCACCAAGTGAGTCACCAAGTGAGTCACCAAGTGAGTCACCAAGTGAGTCACCAAGTGAGTCACCAAGTGAGTCACCAAGTGAGTCACCAAGTGAGTCACCAAGTGAGTCACACCCCGCTCAGCCATTCCCGTGTTCACTAGAAAAGGGGCGAGGGTGCTGGTGCTGGTGTGCTCACCTTCTTGCTGTGTGCTCACCTGCTGCTGCCCAACCACTCCCTACAGGAGCTTTTCTGCCAGAAGGGCGTGTGTGAGCCGCACTTACCACTACCTGCTGCCTGCTGAGCTGCTGCTGCCGAGGAACAGCAGGAGGAGGAGAGGAGGAATGGGAGGAAAATTTGAGGAAAGGGAAGAGGAGTTGAGAAGGCGGTTGAAGGAGTTTCGGAAGATACTGAACTCGTTTGAGGTAAGGACTGGGAGGAGGAGGAGACTAAGAGGAGGAGGGGAGAAGCGGAAGGGAAGCATGACGACGAGGAGGAAGAGGCAGTGGAGTTGGGGGGGCGACTGAAGGAGTTTCAGCAGATACTGAACTCGTTTGAGTGAGGTAACAATAACATCCAGTGGCAGCAGTGACAAACTTGAAATAAAAAAAAAAAAGCGAGAGATTCAAGCGGTTAAGCCATATTTTAATTTGTGAACCTGGCAAACCGCGGCTGGAGCTGTGTGGTGAGGTGAGTACCCAGCCAAGTGCAGTGCGGTGCAGTGCAGTGCAGTGCAGTGCGGTTGCCGACAAAACTGTGTTTCCATGTTCCTCTGCGTTTTTCCACCCTACCACCCCGCCTCGCCACCTTGTTTTCCGCCAGTCCAAAAGAAACACGCCTTTCACAACTGCACTGCGCGGTTGCTGTATTGCTGCACGCCTTTCACAACTGCACTGCGCGGTTGCTGTATTGCTGCACGCCTTTCACAACTGCACTGCGCGGTTGCTGTATTGCTGCACGCCTTTCACAACTGCACTGCGCGGTTGCTGTATTGCTGCACGCCTTTCACAACTGCACTGCGCGGTTGCTGTATTGTATGAAGCACAAGGGAAAACGGCGAGGAGGAAGGGGAAGCAGCAAGCTGCTTTCTCTGAGTATGAGGAGTGCTGCTTTCCATGTTCCTCTGCATGTGCTTTTACCTACTGCTCTTCCCCACCAGGGCAAGAACGCGTTCCGCAACTACACGGTGAGGCGGGTGTATCGCGAGAAGGAGAAGAGAGAAGAGGGGGGGTGGGGGGAAGAAGCAGCAAGCTGCTTTTACTGAGTATCAGGAGTGCTGCTTTCCATGTTCCTCCGCACTTCTATCCCCCAAACCCCCCCACCCCCAGGCCTCAGGACAAGCATCAGGGTTGTGTTTTCTTTTTGAGGCGCCTCAAAATGGGGACAGCTGGTTGTTTTCACTTTTGAGGCGCCTCAAAAGGGGGACAGCTGGTTGTTTTCACTTTTGAGGCGACTCAAAAGGGGGACAGCTGGTTGTTTTCACTTTTGAGGCGCCTCAAAAGGGGGACAGCTGGTTGTTTTCACTGAGTATCAGGGTTGTGTTTCCATGCTACGACTTTTGAGGCGCCTCAAAAGTTTTCACTGAGTATCAGGGTTGTGTTTCCATGCTACGACTTTTGAGGCGCCTCAAAAGTTTTCACTGAGTATCAGGGTTGTGTTTCCATGCTACGACTTTTGAGGCGCCTCAAAAGTTTTCACTGAGTATCAGGGTTGTGTTTCCATGCTACGACTTTTGAGGCGCCTCAAAAGTTTTCACTGAGTATCAGGGTTGTGTTTCCATGCTACGACTTTTGAGGCGCCTCAAAAGTTTTCACTGAGTATCAGGGTTGTGTTTCCATGCTACGACTTTTGAGGCGCCTCAAAAGTTTTCACTGAGTATCAGGGTTGTGTTTCCATGCTACGACTTTTGAGGCGCCTCAAAAGTTTTCACTGAGTATCAGGGTTGTGTTTCCATGCTACGACTTTTGAGGCGCCTCAAAAGTTTTCACTGAGTATCAGGGTTGTGTTTCCATGCTACGACTTTTGAGGCGCCTCAAAAGTTTTCACTGAGTATCAGGGTTGTGTTTCCATGCTACGACTTTTGAGGCGCCTCAAAAGTTTTCACTGAGTATCAGGGTTGTGTTTCCATGCTACGACTTTTGAGGCGCCTCAAAAGTTTTCACTGAGTATCAGGGTTGTGTTTCCATGCTACGACTTTTGAGGCGCCTCAAAAGTTTTCACTGAGTATCAGGGTTGTGTTTCCATGCTACGACTTTTGAGGCGCCTCAAAAGTTTTCACTGAGTATCAGGGTTGTGTTTCCATGCTACGACTTTTGAGGCGCCTCAAAAGTTTTCACTGAATATCAGGGTTGTGTTTCCATGCTACGACTTTTGAGGCGCCTCAAAAGTTTTCACTGAGTATCAGGGTTGTGTTTCCATGCTACGACTTTTGAGGCGCCTCAAAAGTTTTCACTGAGTATCAGGGTTGTGTTTCCATGCTACGACTTTTGAGGCGCCTCAAAAGTTTTCACTGAGTATCAGGGTTGTGTTTCCATGCTACGACTTTTGAGGCGCCTCAAAAGTTTTCACTGAGTATCAGGGTTGTGTTTCCATGCTCCTCCGCACTTCTATCCCCCCCTTTCCCCCCACCCTACACCCCAGGGCAAACACGCGTTTCACAACTACACAGTGAGGCGGCTGTATCGCGAGAAGAAGAAAAGAGAGGGGGAGGAGGAGGGAGAGGGAAGCAGGGGGGGTGGTGGAGAGAAGGGGAACGGCGGTGACAGAAGGCTGAGGAGCGGAGGGGCGTGGGGGAGAGGCAGAGACGGGGGAAGGGGGGAAGGGATGGGGGAAGGAAGGGGGGAAGGAAGGGGGGAAGGAAGGGGGGGAGGAAGGGGGGAAGGAAGGGGGGAAGGAAGGGGGGAAGGAAGGGGGGAAGGAAGGGGGGAAGGAAGGGGGGAAGGAAGGGGAAACGGCAGAGAGGCAAGTACCGGGGCTGTTACGATGGGTGGAGAGATAGTGGAGGGGGGAGGAAATGCGGCTTCTGTGGGCCTTCCGGGGGAGGCAGAGAGGAAAGTTGAGACGACTGAGAGGGTTCAAAATGACATGGGTAGTGGCACAGGAGAGGAACAAGATGGGGTAGGGGAGAAAGAGGGGGGAGAGGAGGGGGATGAAGCTGGGGGGTTGGGGGAGCCAGAGGGGGAGGAAGTGGCGGGGGTAGGGGGGATGGGGAGGGCGGGGAGGAAGGCGGTGTTGTTGCATGAGACGGATAAGAGTGATAAAATCAGTACGGCGCATTTCAGAACCATCGAGACTTGCACGGTGCTGCCTTGGTTTGAAGAGGGCAGCTTTGAGGAGAGCAGCTTTGATGCACAGAGTGTGGAGGGGAGCAGCCTTGCGGGGAGCAGCTGGGAGGGAAGCAGATTGGAGGGAGGTGGGGCAGAAGGAGGGAGGGGCGTGGGACGGCAGGAGCGGCGGAGATTCGTTCGCGTTGTGATTCAAGGAGAGTCGTTCATGCTGCATCAGGTGAGGGGTGAAAGGGATTTTTGAGAATTCTTAAAAATCACTCATGAGGGGTGATAGTGGGAGGGGAGGAGGAGGGGGGACTGAGGGGGTGTGATACGGCAGCAGTGGCTGTGTTTTGTTGTCGAGGAGAGTCGTTTATGCTGCACCAGCAGTACTGCACGAAGCCATCCCCTCCGCCATGCTGCTGCCCTCCCTCGCCCCTTCCCCTTTGCTCACTGCCCGCTTTTCCCCCATACCCTTACTTGTCAGAATGTTATGTTTGTCTAGCCTGCAGTGGGGTACTCTGTAGCGAGTACAGCCCAATTAGGGTTTCCTATATGTATGCCAACTGCTGCTGCTAGTCCAAACCACTTCCTTCTTCAATTCTCTTTCAGAAACCCTAAGCCCTAGCTACTGGCCTCTAAGCCTATGGCTCCTAAGCCTACTGCTCTATTCCTGCGTAGTATTCTAACATGGTATTAGAGCTACTTAGCTCCTGGCCTGTGGGCCCGTATGCTTCCGCTGCTGCTGTACTGCCTGTCGCGCGCCCCGTGGCGCGTGACATTGTTTTTTTTCTGCCCGCTACACGCTCGGGGCGCGTGGCGGTTTCCTGCCCGCCGCGTGCCCCGGACGCGCGCGACGGTTTCGTCGCCCGTCGCGGCGCCCCTAGGTCGCGCGCGCCGTCCCCCCCCCTTCCCGTCGTCCGTCGCGACGCCCTGGGGGCCCGCGCGCCGCCCTGCCCGTCGCCCGTAGCGGCACCCCAGGGGCCCGCGCGCCGTCCCCCCCCTTCCGGTCGCCCGTCGCGACGCCCTGGGGGCCCGCGCGCCCCCCTTTCCCGTCGCCCGTCGCGACGCCCTGGGGGCCCGCGCGCCCCCCTTTCCCGTCGCCCGTCGCGACGCCCTGGGGGCCCGCGCCCCCCCCCCCCTTCCCGTCGCCCGTCGCGACGCCCTGGGCCCCCCCCCCCCCCTTCACGTGCTCCCGTTGCGCTGCCCCTTCCTCCCCGCGGGTGGCGAGTGTGGGGGTGGCGAGTATGGGGGTGCTGGGTGTGTGCGGCCTCCCCTGCTCCTCCTCCTCATCCGTCTCCCACTGCTGCAGCTGCCGCTGAGGGGGGTGGGTGTGTGGGAGCCGAGGGAGTGGCGCTAGGGGGGTGTCGTGGGAGTGGAGCTAGGGGTGCAGCAAGGGGTGTGTGAAAGGGGTGTGGGACAGTTGGGGGAGGTTGACAGGAGGTAGCCGTTGTGACGTCTGCAGCGCCAGTAGTCCGGGGGTTTAGCCCAGCGAGCCTGCTGCGCCAGTCGCCTGTGGGTCCGTTGCTCCTGCAGCTTAGTGCGGAGCCAGTTACTCCTGTAGTCCGGAGGTTGAGTGCTCCGGTAGCCACCGTGCGCGCCGTTCCTGTTGCCCGAGTGTCTGTCGCCGTGTAGTCCGGGGCTCTGCGCCTGGTAGCGACAGTGCTGCGCGCTTCTGTTGCGCGTGTGTCTGCAGCTTCAGCCGTCGCCTCCCATCTTCTTGCCCCCACAGTTTCTCCTCCTCCTTAGGGTTTCCTATTTGTATCCTGCTGCTGGTAGTCCAAACCACTTCCTTCAATTCTCTTTCAAAAACCCTAAGCCCTAGCTACTGGCCTCTAAGCCTATGGCTCCTAAGCCTACTGCTCTATTCCTGCCTAGTATTCTAACATTACTCATCATTACTCACTGCCTGCCAGCAGTGCTGCACGGAGCCATGCCCTCGACCATGCTGCTGCCCACCCTCCCACCCCCTTTTTGCCCCTGTCTTGGCAGATTCGCAAGATGGTGGGAACAGCCTTGGCAATCCTCCACGGAGCCTTCAGTTTCTGGGCAGTTTCGAGTCAGTTTCAAGGCAGCTTCCCCTGCCCCCACCCCCTCTTCCTTCGTTCTTTTTCAGATTCGCAAGATGGTGGGGACGGCCTTGGCAGTCCTCCACGGAGCCATCCCCTCGTCCATGCTGCTGCCCTCCCTCGCTCGCCACTCCCGCATCGTGCTGCCCCTCGCTCCGCCCCAAGGCCTCCTAGTGGCCGACTGCTCCTTCATGCCCTTCCGGGCGCCGAAGCTGCCCGGAAACAAATCGCCCGCTGCGCAGGTTTCCACTGCCCAAGGTTCAGCTGTTCAAAAAGACTCATTTGCTCTAGAATCAAATGTTCCAGTCTCAACTGCTGCAGATATACCTTCCCCAGATACACCCGCCTCAGGCTCATCTGAGTCACCTGCGTTGGCTGAGTCTTCTTCCTCTACTTCCTCACACCCTTCAGAGGAATCCACGAACAACACTCCTCTTAAAGCTGATTCGATAGACAGTATGAAGCAGCAGCAGCAGCAGCAGCAGCAGGCAGAGAGGCTATACACTCAGTGGCACTCTCCCAAATCCCCTCGTCAAATCGCCAGCACCAACACTCAAAACACACTCCGTATGTCCCCTGCGGTGTGCCAGAGAGTACAGGCATTCACTGAAAGGCACGTGCTGCCAGCCATGCTACAGTGGGTGGACGCTGAAGGAGAGCCGTGGAGCGGGTGGGAGGAGAACCTCCTTGCCTACGAGTGGGTATCGGAGGAGGAAGAGAGAGCAGTGGTAGAGGGGTATGCGAAGTGGAGGCAGGGCAGGGCAGATCGAGGGTACTGAGCCGAGCCCCTGGTACTGAGCAGATAGTGGATGGAGGGGAGAGCAGGCAGAGGGTACTGACCCCATTCGCCCAGCAAAGTGCGCTGCCAGCCATGCTGCAGTGGCTGGACTCGTAGGGGGAGCCGTGGTGTGGGTGGGAGGAGAACCTGCAGGCGTACCGGTGGGTGTGTGTGCAGAGGAGGAGAGGGAAGTGGTGGAGGGGTATGCACAGAGGCAGCAGGGCAGAGCAGAGAGAGGGCACTGAGGCTTTTCTCCCAGCAGTTGCCAGAGGTACTAGTGTGCTGCCAGAGGTACTAGTGTGCTGCCAGAGAGTAGAGGAGGAGAGGGAAGTGGTGGAGGGGTATTATAAGTGGAAGCAAGGGAGAGAAGAGAGAGGGTACTGAGCAGGGCAGAGCAGACAGGGGGTAATGAGAGAGTAGAGGCATTCTCCCAGGGGAGAGTGCTGCCGGCAATGCCGCAGTGGGTGGGAGGAGATCCTTCTTGTGGACCGGTGGGTGCGTGAGGAGGAGCAAGGAGTGGTGGAGGGGTTTACAGAGTGGTGGAGGGGTTTACAGAGTGGAAGCGTCACAGGAGGGTGGAGGGGCAGGTGTGGAGCTGTGCAGCGGGGAGGAGAATTTTGAGGCGCCTCAGGAGAATCTGCTGGCGTACCAGTGGGTGTGTGAGGAGGAGAGGGCCATTGTGGAAGGGTATTCCAAGTGGAAGTAGGGCAGAGCAGACGGAGGGTACTGAGCCGAGAGAGTAGAGGGATTTGCTCGCAGTGCGGCAGTGGGTGAATGCTGGAGCAGGTGGGACACGAATCTGTGATAGTACCAGCGGGTGTCTGTAGAAGTTGTGTGTGAAGATTTTTCCTTCTTTTGAAGAATTGTAACAATTTTAAGATAGAAATGGGAGGTGATGAAGTATGTGTAATGACTAATGCAATTAAGGTGGAACACGACCAGGGCTAATTTTTGGTTTTGGCCAACTCTTACGACCAGTGTTGCTCATATGCAAAAACCTTATAATCAGAGTAGATCACTTTGAAATTCCTGATTGGTCAGGGTTTTTGCAGGTTTTGAAAAATTTACCCTGGATCATCAGTGTAACAATTTTTTACGCCCTTGTTGAAATCGTTTCAATACAGCACACACTAACATTATCAATCCTCATCATCAGACATCCCACACTGCAGTTCGTGCTCACTTTCCTCTTCGGGCTCAGGGACTTTCCCTTTGCCCTTTCTCTCCGCTTCGGTCGGCAGCGCCACTGATTTTGCTGGCCTTCTGGTTTTCTGCTTGCACAGTTGCGACAGTAGGCACAGGGGATTCCGAGGTTTCGGGGAAGGGGGGGTATGGGAAGGGGGGGGGGGGGGGGGGGGGGGGGGCGGGGGGGGGCTGGAACTCGCTTCAGGGTGGAACTCGATTATCGAAAACGGCAACCCTGGGCGACAGTGTAGCATATTCGTAAACTCTGGCACATCAGGGTAAATGGAGGTCCTGAAAAAATTACGGTACCCTACCCCATCAGTGTTACTACCTAAAAACCACCCTGTTCATCAGGGCATCAGGGTGATTTACCCTGATAAAATAGGCCCTGAACACGACATTAATTTATTTGGATATGTTGAAGTTAGGCATAAGGGCCTAGGCTTAGTAGCCTAGGCCCAAGGAGATAGTGCTAGCTTAGGCCAAGGAGAGAGTCGAGAGAATTGTGGTAAGGAAGTGTGTTTCACTATAGCAAACCAGGAAGATATAGGCAAGAGAACAAGTACAAGTGGTGCACCACCAACAGTTAATAATAACTACACTAAACAGCTAGAACTACATGCAGGTATAAGAATTCTGACATCCCCCTGTCAAATGTTGTAGCCTATAGTGAGGTTTGTCTTAGGGGGTACAAAACTTAGGGTTAGCTATATGTACCCCAACCAACATCAATGCATCATCCATTCTTCATTTTGACATGGTATCAGTTAGGTTAGGATCCTGTGGGATCCCGTTCCGCCGTTCTCCGTTCGTACCACCCGAGCCTGATCCTAGCTCTCGTTCGTCTCCTTCTCGTTGTTACCGAGCCTAGCGCCGAGCCACGCTCTCGTTCGTATCGTTCCAGCTGTTACCGAGCCTAGCAACGACCCACGCTCTCGTTCGTATCGTTCCAGCTGTTACCGCCCCCCCGTCGCGTCGCCTTCCCCCCCCTCGAGACGCGCCCGTCCCTTTCCCCCTGTCGCGTCGCGCTCCCCCCGTCGCGTCGCGTCCGCTCCTTCCCCCCGTCGCGTCGCCTTCCCCCTGTCCAGTCGCGCCCCCCCTTTTCCCCCCGTCGCGTCGCCCTCCCCCTGTCCCGTCGCGCCCGCCCCTTCCCCCCGTCGCGTCGCCCTCCCCCTGTCCCGTCGCACCCGCCCCTTTCCCCCCGTCGCGTCGCCCTCCCCCTGTCCCGTCGCTCCCGCCCTCTCCCCACGTCGCGTCGCCCGTCCCGCAGCGCCCGCCACGGTCGCTCGCGACCGCGCTCGTCGCCGCCGCGCCTGCCGCCGTCGCCCGCCCCCTGCGCGCCTCGCCGCGGCCCCGCCGTCGTCGCCCGCCGCTGCGCGCGTCGCCGCTGCGCCCCCTGCCGTCGCCCGCTGCGCGCGCTGCTGGCCCCTGCTGCCGAGCGCGCTGCCATCGCCCGCCGCTGCGCCCGTTCCCGTTCCCCGCTGCTTAGTCCCCTGTTACCTCCCGCTGTCACGCCCGCTGTGGCGTCCGCTCCTCCCCTGTCCCAGAGTACCGCCGAACCCTAATTTGCCTCTCACCTACTGCTGTCCCCTCCCTCTCCGTTCGCGTTCGTTTTCACTATGGCGACTCAGCGTGTCCTTCGTTTCGACGCTGACGGTAGACCTCTTGATTTTTCCGTCTGGCTTCTTCGTGCTCGCCGTCTGTTAGAGAGTCAGGTCCAGGCAGGCGAGACCCTCTGGGCGCACGCTACTGGTGCCCTACCTGCGCCCCCCGACCCTACGCCTTTAGGACCTGCCCCTGACGACGCCGCTAGAGCCCGCTTTGCCACTCAGCGAGCTGACCAGACGGCTTGGACGTCACGTGACGCTGCGGCCTGCATCGCGCTCAGCAGCCTCCTCCCTGAGTCTGAGGAGGTTCACTTCACTCAGGTTCGCACCGCTGCTGAGTACCTCACTGCGATTAAGGCCCGCTACTCTACTCCCGCTGCTGTCTCTCTTGGCCGCCTGTTCCTCCCGTTCCTGTTTCCTGACCTAGCGTCTTTTGAGCGCTCTGCTGACTTGATCGCTCACCTCCGCTCGCTCGACGCTAGTTACCGCGCTGCTTGCACTGAGGCACAGCTTGCACTGCTTCCTCCCCCTATGGCGATTACTATCTATTTCATCGCCACTAGCCTCCCTGACCGCCTTGCCTCCGTTCGCGATGCGCTTCTGCTGAAGCACCCTAGTGAGCTCACCGTCGAGGTCCTTGAGTCTGCACTCAAGGACGTCGAGAGCAACCTTCGCTCGGTAGCCGCTGCCTCTGGTGCTGTGCCCCCCCCACTCTTCCACGGGTGCACAGTCCCGCAGTTACCCACCTTTACTGCCTCACTTGCCACTGCCGCTACTGACGCGACTGCAGCTGCTGTTACGACTGCGTCGCGGTCCCGCGGTAGGAGTGGCAAGAAAGGCGGTTCTGGTGGTGGTAGTGGAGGTGGAGGCGGAGGTAGTGGAGGTGGCGTTGCGCCTGGCGGCGGTGGAGGTTCAGGGCCTGGAGAGGCGCCTCGTGCAGTGACTGGTGACTCCACTGCGCCTGCTGGTGGTGGCGACGCCCGAGTTCGTCAGTCGCCTCCTGTACTTCCTGCCCCGGTTGGTGGAGCAGCGGCGTGGTACCAGGCTCAGCGTCAGCAGCAGCTTCTGCAGCACCAGCAGCCCCTCTCCTCCCAGCAGCCTCAGCAGCAGCAGCGGCAGCAGCTGGCTCCAGGGTCGGGGCTGCGTCAGACCCAGCGCGGTGCTGCTTACACTCCCTGCACCTACCAGGTTCTGACAGGCACTCGTCGTGGCCACCCTTGTGGCCGGTTTCACCCCCCTGGTCAGTGCTTTGCTCAGCTCACTGACACGGTTCGTTTGGTCTACGGGGTTGGTGCTCCTGCCCCTGACTGGCTGCCTCTTGTTCAGCGTTACGGCTCCGCTCTGTGGGGCATGTCTGCTGAGCAGTTAGTTGATCTGATTGGTAATCCCCATGCTATGTATGCTGTTGTTGACTCTAGTGTTTCTGACTCTGTTTACTCTGGTGTTGTTAGCTTAGGTGCTAGCCTTGCTCAGTTGCCTGTTGCTAGTGTAGGTTCTTGTGTAGACTCTAGTCCAGCGGCTACCTCAGAGGACGGTTCGCTGTCGTTCACGCTGGACTCTGGAGCCTCTCACTGCTTCTTTCGTGACAGCACGACACTTACGCCTCTTCCTGCGCCTGTTTCTGTGGCGCTGGCTGATCCCACTTCGGGACCAGTCACCGCGCGTCACACTACCACCTTGCCGTGTCCGGCTGCTCCTTCTGGGTCTCTCACTGGGTTTCACGTCCCCTCGTTCTCCCGGAACTTGGTGGGCGTGCGACCCCTCGTGAGTCAGCACGTGGGTGTGTGGTTTGAGCCTTCTGGAGAGACTGCGGTGTGTGTTGACGGGGACTCTTACCAGCCCCTCGCCACTTTTGCTGCTGAGCCGGGCTCCGGTCTCTACACTCTTCACACTGGCCCGCGCGCTCAGCAGCGACTGCAGCAGCAGCAGCAGCCGCAGCAGCAGCAGCAGCAGCAGCCGCAGCCGCAGCCACAGCCGCCCCTCCTGCCCCCGGCCCCTGTTTTGCCCCCCGTTCGAGTCCTCGCGTCTCACCAGGTTGCTCCGTCCCCCCAGGTAGCTGTGTCTTGTCAGGTTCCTCCGTCTAGTCCGGTCGCTGCGTCGTGCTCCTGTCGGTCGCTTGCCCACCCCACCGTTTTGTGGCACCACCGGCTGGGGCACCCTTCTCCTCCTCGTCTTCGCGCTATGTCTCGTCAGCGTCTTGTCTTAGGTCTCCCGCGTGTCTTGCCGTCGCTGCCGCCGTCCCTTGCACCACCGTGCGGTCCTTGCGTCGAGGGTAGGCTGCGCGCCACCCCTCACTCCTCCTCCCTTCGTCCGGCCACCGAGCCTTTTGAGACGCTGCACTTGGACGTCTGGGGCCCCTCTCCTCGCCCTGGCCCTGAGCGTGAGCGTTTCTTTTTGGTGGTCGTTGACGACTACTCCCGCTACACCACAGTGTTCCCCCTGGCGAGGAAGTCTGAGGTGACTTCTACGCTGATCAAGTGGTTGCTTACCACCCAGGACACTCGTGGTCGTCGTGTCAGCTGTCTCCACTCCGACCGCGGGGGCGAGTTTCGCTCCGGCATTCTCGCTCCCAGGGCATTCGTCAGTCCTGGACGCTTCCGGAGTCCCCACAGCAGAATGGGGTTGCTGAGCGTCGCATAGGCCTGGTCATGGAGATTGCCCGCACCTCCTTGACTCACGCCCGTGCCCCCCATTTCCTGTGGCCATACGCGGTCAGGTACGCCGCGCACCAGCTGAACCTCTGGCCACGCGTCTCTCGGCCGGAGGCTTCACCGACCAGTCTTTGGACAGGGTCCCCTGGTGTCGCGTCGAGGTTTCGTGTCTGGGGGTGCTTGGCTCTTGTCCGCGACACCTCCGCGGACAAGCTCTCGCCTCGCGCCGTTCCTTGTGTCTTCCTTGGTTTCCCTGAGGACTCCTCTGACTTCACCTTTTACCACCCTCCCTCTCACCGGTTCTTTGACTCCCGTGACGTCCGTTTCGAGGAGTCCACCCCCTACTACGTCAGGTACCCCAGTCGAGGTCTCCCGGTCCCTCCCCCCCCTCTCTTCCTGACCGCCGCTCCCCCGCCTGCTCCCCCGGTACAGCCTCCCCCCCCTGGTCCAGCCCCGTCTGGTGTGTCTCAGGCTAGCCCTCCCCCTTCGGTAGCCCCCCCTGTACAGCCTCCCTCCCCACAGTCTTCCTCGCCGCCTCCTGCAGGTGCTCCCTCTCGGGAGGTTGGTCCTGCGACTGTCCCTGTACAGGTCTCTGGTTCTGGGGGTGCTGGAGTTGGAGCTGAGCCGCGGGTTGCAGAGGACTCTTGTCTTCCGGGGGCTGGTACTGGTCGTGCGGAGTCTGGGGGTGCTGGTGCGGAGTCTGGGGGTGCTGCGTCTGGGGGTGAGGGTGTCCCTTCGGTTTCTGGAGAGCCTGGGTCTGGAGCTGGTGTTGGTGCTGCCTCTGGGGGTGGTGTGCTTGGTGCTTCGGAGGTCGACTCTGGGGCTGCCGCTGCCCCGGACACTACTCCTTCCCCCCACCCCTACCCGACCAGGTTCCAGGCTCGTGTTCGCCGTGCTCGTGAGGAGCAGCTGGAGTTGGAGAGAGAGGAGAGAGAGTTGCAGCGGCTCGAGGAGCAGGAGCGACAGCAGCAGGAGCAGCAGCAGGATCAGCAGCAGGGGCAGCAGCCGCTGGAGCAGCAGCAGCCGCAGCAGCCGCAGCAGCAGCTGCTGCCGTCTCCTCCTCCTGTCTCGGGTCTTCGGACCCTTGGTCCTCCTCCCCCTCTCCTCCCGTCTCTGGTCCTCCGCTTCCTCCTCCTGACCCCTCTCCCGCTGTTTTCCCTCGTTCTCAGTCTTCGTTGTCTCCTCCTCCTTCTCAGACTTGGGCCTCTCGTCGCTCCCCTCGTGCTCGTCCCTCGTCTCCTGTTCCCTTCACTGACCTTCGTACAGCCTTCCTTTGTTCTCGTCCACCTCGTCCGTCTCCGTCTGTGCTTCCGTCTCCTCCTGAGTCGGCCCTCACTGTGTCGCTTCCTTCTCCTGTCACTGACTACTACCGCACGTACCGTCCTGTTCTCTCTCGTGTTCTCGCCTCTCTTGTTACCCACCCTCGTGCCTCTGTGTCCTCTGTGTCCGCTCTTACTGCCGCAGTCACTGAGTTTGCCTCTACCCGCCGCCTTGACTTCGCCACCGCTCTTGTGGCTGCTCCTCCTTCCAGTCCTCTGGCCGTCGGGGGTGTGTCTGCCCTTGGCTGTGACGCCCTAGAGGACAGGCAGTTTGAGCTAGAGTTCCTGGCAGCCGCTTCCCCTCATCTCTGTGCCATGCTCCTCGCCCCTGAGGGTGACCCCGACGCCCTTGACATTCCGACTCCTCGCACTTACGCTGAGGCAGTGTCAGGGCCTTGGGCCTCTCAGTGGAGAGCTGCCATGGACGCAGAGATGGCCTCCTACAGATCCACAGGCACCTACGTCGATGAGGTTCCCCCTCCGGGGGCGAACGTAGTCGACGGCATGTGGATCTACAGGGTGAAGCGGCCACCGGGATCTCCTCCGGTCTTCAAGGCGCGCTACGTGGCTAGAGGTTTCAGTCAGCGCGAGGGAGTTGACTTCTTTCAGACCTTCGCGCCCACCCCGAAGATGACCACTCTTCGGGTATTACTACACGTAGCAGCACAGAGAGACTACGAGTTACACTCTCTCGACTTCTCTACTGCTTTCCTTCAGGGCAGTCTTCACGAGGAGGTCTGGTTGCGTCGTCCCTCTGCCTTCATTGGCACTTTCCCTCCTGGGACCCAGTGGAGGCTGAGGCGACCGGTTTACGGTCTTCGTCAGGCTCCTCGTGAGTGGCACGACACCCTGCGTTCTACCCTGTCTGACCTTGGGTTCCAGCCGTCTTCTGCTGACCCGTCGCTGTTCGTTCGTCGTGGCCCCACACCTTTCTTTGTTCTGGTCTACGTTGACGACCTTGTTTTCGCCACCCCTGACAGGGTTGCTTTGGCACACGTGAAGTCCGAACTGCAGAAGAGACACACCTGCACTGATCTTGGTGAGCTGCGCCACTACCTTGGCCTGCAGATCACCAGGGACAGAGCTGCTCGCACCATTACACTTTCACAGTCACACATGGTGCAGCAGGTCCTTCAGCGGTTCGGGCTTCAGCACTCCACAGTACAGCGCACACCTCTTGCTGTTGACCACAGACTCACTGGACCCTTTCTTGACGAGCCGTTCGAGCCTAGTGGTCCCTACGCAGAGCTTGTGGGTTGCCTCATGTACCTGATGACTTGTACTCGCCCGGACCTCGCCTTCCCTCTCAGCGTTCTTGCGCGCTTTGTTGCGCCAGGGAGACACCGTCCTGTTCACTGGACAGCAGCTGTGAGGGTGGCGAAGTACCTAGCGACGACATCAGGCGTGGGGCTAGTTCTTGGAGGGCAGCAGTCTGTCGTACTTACTGGTCACTGTGACTCCTCTTACGCTGACGACGCTGAGACTCACAGGTCTACTCAGGGGTACTGTTTCAGCCTGGGTTCTGGAGCTGTTTCCTGGCGGTCCACGCGCTCCTCTTCGGTCTCGACCTCTACAGCTGAGGCTGAGATCTACGCTGGTGCCATGGCGGCACAGGAGCTGCGTTGGTTGACCTTCTTGCTCACCGACCTTGGTGAGCGGCCGAGCTCTGCACCGACCTTGTTCACTGACAACAAGGCGTCTATTCTCCTTTGTCGAGAGCCACGACTGGAGAGCAGAGTGAAGCACATTCACGTCAGGTACTTTCTTCTGCGAGAGTTGCAGAGGCGTGGACAGGCTCGCTTTGAGTTTGTGGAGTCCGAGGCCAACACTGCAGACATCTTCACCAAGGCGCTTCCGCCTTGTGACCACCAGAGGTGCTGTGTGCAGTTAGGCCTTGTTGACACTGGTTCTCGTGTTGCTTAGACTTGAGTGTACTGTTTACTTTGCTTTCTATATATCTCTGTTACTTCTTGGACTGGCCTTGTGGCCACTGTTGTTTGTGCTCAGACTGTGTGGTGACGTTGTGATCCACCCTGAGCTTCGTTTCTTGGACTGGTCTTGTGACCGTACTCGTTTGGTTCTGCTAGACACCCCTCACTTAGGCTATGGGGGTGTGTCAAATGTTGTAGCCTATAGTGAGGTTTGTCTTAGGGGGTACAAAACTTAGGGTTAGCTATATGTACCCCAACCAACATCAATGCATCATCCATTCTTCATTTTGACACCCCCCATAACTGCATGCAGGGATAGCGAAGTGTAGAACACTACCTGCAGGGGTACACCACAGACAGAGACACCACAACAGCAGGCAAGGTAACAGAGCAGGTACAGCAGCAAAGGGGGCAGGCACTCCTGACACCCCTTCACCCTCCTCCCCCCGCCCCACGCTCTGGGCTCCCCCACCCCCTCACACCCTCCCCCAGCGACAGCTGCAGCAGTGGGAACGAAAGGAGGAGGGTGGGAAGGAAAACACACCACCCACCACCCCAATACCCGCCACCCCAGACCCTCCCCCCCACTGCTGCAGGGAGGCGAAGGAAGGGGGGGGGGCGGGGGTGTGGGTAGGGCAGGGGCGGCTGGATCGAGGGCAGGCGCGGGGTGAGGTAGAGGCGGCTCAGGGCACCGTCGCGGGCGCCAGGGGCGGGTCCGCGGCGGCTCAGGCTCCCGTCGCGGGCGCCAGGGGCAGGTCCGCGGCGGATCAGGGCACCGTCGCGGGCGCCAGGGGCGGGTCCGCGGCGGCTCAGGGCACCGTCGCGGGCGCCAGGGGCGGGTCCGCGGCGGCTCAGGGCACCGTCGCGGGCGCCAGGGGCGGGTCCGCGGCGGCTCAGGGCACCGTCGCGGGCGCCAGGGGCGGGTCCGCGGCGGCTCAGGCTACCGCCGCGGGCGCCAGGGGCGGGTCCGCGGCGGCTCAGGCTCCCGTCGCGGGCGCCAGGGGCGGGTCCGCGACGGGCAGAAAAAACGTCACGCGCCTCCCGGGCGCGGGACAGAACTAAAATCGCCACGCGCCCGAGGCGCGCGACCGGAAAAACAGCAGCGGAAGCGAGAGGCTGGCCCACAGGCCAGGGCGTTACAGGCTCTGATAGCATGTTGAAGTTAGGCATAAGGGCCTAGGCTTAGTAGCCTAGGCCCAAGGAGATAGTGCTAGCTTAGGCCAAGGAGAGAGTCGAGAGAATTGTGGTAAGGAAGTGTGTTTCACTATAGCAAACCAGGAAGATATAGGCAAGAGAACAAGTACAAGTGGTGCACCACCAACAGTTAATAATAACTACACTAAACAGCTAGAACTACATGCAGGTATAAGAATTCTGACAGGATACCGCAGATGATTGAAGCATACAATAATAGAGGAAAGATATTTCTCACTATGTACATAACACACTAACACCTCGTGATCTTAAAGCCAGCAGCTAAAATAGTGACCCCCCCCCTTCTAGTTGGGTCCACTTGAAAACTCAAACTAACTTTGTAAAGGTTTTGACGGTCGAAGTGTTGTTTTGTTTTGTTTCCCAGACGCGTTCAAACTCTTCACACGATTTTGCACAAAAAACGTCGCAAGTTGGCGACGTGCAAATCCCTCAATCACATGAGGGGGCCAATTTCAAGTGTTGCATGCGCAATTCACGCACAACAAACGCCATAGATATGTGCCTGCTGGGGCGGCAAAAATGGCATAGGAAAAGCAGAACTGCAGGAAAAAAACAGAGGGTTTCGGGTTAGAGATAAAAAAATAGGAATAGGGAGAACGAAACGTGGACGCACGGAGAGCGCTGATACAGCGAAACGTGCGGAACGGTAGGGTGTTGGGAGATGGGAGGGGAAAAACAAAGGGCGACTTGCAGGCATTTCGGGCCGAGCGCGAAAGCGCCGAGGTGGGTGACGGGAGGGGAGAGAGGAAAGGTGACGACTGCATCGAGGGCAACGTGAGAGGAGGGGAGAGAGGATAGGAATCGGGAGAGAGCAAGGGCGCCGGGAGAGAGAAAGGGCGACGGGGGAGAGGATAGGCGACGGGAGAGAGGAAGGGTAACGGGAGGGTGGAAGGGCAACGAGAGAGAGAAAGGGCAACGGGAGAGAGAAAGGGCGACGGGAGAGAGAACACGCGACGGGAGAGAGAAATGGCGACGCAGAGAGAGCAAGGGCGACGGAGAGAGAGCAGGGGCGACGGAGAGAGGGCAAGGGCGACGGAGAGAGAGCAAGGGCGACGGAGAGAGAGCAAGGGCGACGGAGAGAAAGCAAGGGCGACGGAGAGAGAGCAAGGGCGACGGAGAGAGAGCAAGGGCGATGGAGAGAGAGCATGGGCTACGGAGAGAGAGCAAGGGCGACGGGAGGGAGTTTCGGGGAGTTGGCGAGGGCGACGAGGGGAGCGACGGGATGGGAGAGAGGTGGGCGACGGGAGGGAGTTTTGAGGCGTTTGAAACGGGGGACGAGGGGAGCGATGGGATGGGAGAGAGGATGCGCGACGGGAGGAAGTTTCGGGGCGTTGGCGAGGGCGACGAGGGGAGCGACGGGATGGGAGAGAGGATGCGCGTACGGAGGGAGTTTCGGGGCGTTGGCGAGGGCGACGAGGGGAGCGACGAGATGGGAGAGGGGTGGGCGACGGGAGGGAGTTTCGAGGCGTTGGCGAGGGCGACGAGGGGAGCGACGGGATGGGAGAGAGGTGGGCGACGGGAGGGAGTTTTGAGGCGTTTGAAACGGGGGACGAGGGGAGCGATGGGATGGGAGAGAGGATGCGCGACGGGAGGGAGTTTCGGGGCGTTGGCGAGGGCGACGAGGGGAGCGACGGGATGGGAGAGAGGATGCGCGTACGGAGGGAGTTTCGGGGCGTTGGCGAGGGCGACGAGGGGGGCGACGAGATGGGAGAGGGGTGGGCGACGGGAGGGAGTTTCGAGGCGTTGGCAAGGGCGACGAGGGGAGCGACGGGATGGGAGAGAGGTGGGCGACGGGAGGGAGTTTTGATTCGTTGGCGAGGGCGACGAGGGGGGCGATGGGATGGGAGAGAGGATGCGCGACGGGAGGGAGTTTCGGGGCGTTGGCGAGGGCGACGAGGGGAGCGACGGGATGGGAGAGAGGTGGGCGACAGGATGGGCGACGATGAGCGCAACGGAACGGGAGGACGACGGGACGGCAGAATGGGCGGGTGGCTGGACGGAGAGCAAGGGCTATGGGGGGGAAGAAGTGATCGCGTGGGTAGGAAGGCGAGAGGAGATCGCGTGAGCGACGGGACGGAAGAACGCGCGCAAAAGGATGGACTCGAAAGCTTACACTCATAGCTTTCTGATACAACACGCCGGACAATCTGATTAATACAAGTCGAGATAACGAGGGCCTAAGTCTAGACATAGCCTATGCCTAGCCTAGCTACTTCTAACTAGCGACGCAAAATTGGTAGTACTTCACCCCATCCCAACTTGAAACATGAGCTGGGCCAAATCGCTTGGGCATACCGAAACGATCGCCTATGCAATTGTCGTGCGAAATGAGAAATGCGACGCCAACATCCGCAGAATGTTTTACTTTTGTCGGGAACCAATCAGAGGTGTTCGATTTGCACGTCCGCAGCGTTTGAAACGGTACAAACTTGTCAGTCCGGTCCAAATTTTGTTTCGCCCGGCAAGGTCGTCCCTGCGCTCTTTCAAGTTGGGTTTGGGTTCACTATTTTGCATTTCGGTTTTAAGTTCCTGGCTAGGCATCCAGTCCCCTTCGGAACTGGACACGCGACAAGAGGTACTTTTAATGACCTAGTGTGTCTGTAAGAGTCGACAGCAGGGCTGGTGGGATTCACACGAATTTTATTTGCTTGCCAGTAAGTTGCAGCGCAGCAAACTGTAACGGGTTATGTAATTGTGTCAGCTGAGTGACCCAACGCGTCCGCGAAAAAACTGCTGAATTCGCTGAAGGAGCGTGAGATGTTCGCAACGCGGAGTATAATTTATTTATTGGCATGGGGATTCGAACCCTGCACTCAGGCTCACATGCCTCCGCAGGGATGAATTCGCAAGCGCAGCAACTCGGGGGGAAGCGGCGGATGACGTGCGCGGAGTAAGCGGAAGCTGACGCGCGCCCGGCGCAGCAATGAGCGGAGATCCGGGCCGAGGAAGAGCAGGCGACTGCGGAAGGGCGCGGGGAGAAGCGCATGCGCCAGTATGCGCGCGCGCGGAAGCGTGGCGCGGGGATCTGTGTCGCGGGGAACCGCGCAACCGGGAAGGGCTACCGTGAGAAGCGGCGTTTCCGCCATGGCCCTGCACGCGTGGAGAGCACGACGTGGGCTCGTCGTAAAAGCTAAGATCTTCTCTCCAGGTTTGGTTGCCGGCCGTTGGATGAAGGTCCAGCGACATATGCCGGAAAAGCTGCCGCGATTGGCGCCGCGATAAAATCAGCGGCTCGATGCTGTTCCTCGCCAGCCTCGGATCAGCGCCAATGCCGCCGTCAGGTACGGCGTCTCCGCCGCCAGATGATCTCGCACCCGATTTCACTGCGGATTTAACGGCGGATTTGGCGGCTGCTTCTTCTTGCTTGGCGAGCAGCGAGGATTGGATCATCTCAATGAAGCCTTGGCATCGGACGGCTGAGAGCTCTCGCTGGATCTGCAGCAGCTGCAGCTTGCCTTCCAGCGCCGCCATTTCGACCGCGCCGAGCGTGCTGCGGATCGCGTTCGACGGCGCGATGTCGATTCCATTGTTCTGCGGTGCTTGTAAGTGATTCCTAACGTCAATGGCGGTATGTGAAGCCATTGAGACGGTACGCACTGCGGATAAAACCAAACGAGCTACGTCACGGTGGAACAGTCGTTACGGCTACTACGCACTTTGCCTATCGCAGCAACAGGAACCGAGCTTCAAGGCGACAGCTTGCAACGTGAGGAACAGCGACAACAAAAAAATGTGCTGCACATTCCCTGGCGGAACCTCTGAATCTCCGATCAGTAAGGGAGAAGCAGCTTGGTTGCTAGAATGGTGGACTGGAGCAAATGTCCGTCACGTTGCCTTTATGGACGTGAGGCTAGGATGGAGAGATTGGGACATCCATGTTCCCAGGAAATCACTCAGCGTTAGGACGCGTCACCTCTATCGATTTTGCACAATCGATATTCAAAAACCGATCGTCCGCCGTACTTGAAACTTGCCTGTCACACTGGCAATGCTTGAAAACGTTTTCAACTCCGCAAACATTCGATCCTGCGTAGGATCGATGGTGCAAATACCGAAAGAGGTGACGTGACACGTCCTAGAGTCACTTGACGCCGAAAAACATGTGTGTGAGGTGGGGAGTGGGGAGGATCTGGGGGGGACAGACAGCCGCACGCGGAATTTGGCATCCAGCTTGCTGTGGATGTTTGGGGAGCGGACACGCCGCCAGGGGCTAGTGCGGCTAGCGGAAAGCGCGAAACGGGTTTTTCACCCCGGGACCTACGCGTATAAAAAACTATCCAGAAGTACTGTCTAGTGCGGATAAAGTTGTTCTGCAAAATAAGGTATTAAAAAACAACCCCAAATTTGTCCTATTGCGTGTGCAATTCATTTTCAGTGGTTTCCACCCAGTGTAGCTGGAATCGGATTCAACTAAACAGTACGCAAAAACAGCATTCTGAGTGTTTTTGGGATCACCTGAAAACAATGTCTGTTATGCCCAAAATACCAAGTGGGCCTGTACAAGACGGAACTCTTTGCAGATGTGAAACGAATCTGGCTTGTTTTTGCGGGTATGGGTTTGGGAAGGGCCGAATGACAACCCTGATCAGAAACACAAGCCCAGCCAAAAAGATTCCGCTCCGTCGCCGCGCTCCGATTCGACAAATGCTCCTGCAGATCAAACGGAGGTGGAGGAGAGGCGACCAGTCGCGTCGCGGATTGCTTGCGACGAGCTTCATATTTGAATAGTGCAACATTCCAGGAATCTGGTCGGTGACAGGCTCTATGGGGGGCGACAGGGTATGGGGCATACGGTTTATTCGACACGTGTCAGGTCGCCATGAACGAAAGGTGGCCCTTGTCCCGCTCGATGAAGCACCAACAACGACAGACATCAACGGCTCAGATCAGCTCTACGTAGGTCGGATGAAGTAACGCTTCCGTTTCCGTCAGGTCAGGTTTGTCGAGCTTCTCCGAATGTCAGTTCGCAGGGATACTCATACGACACTGCGCGACTATTGCGGCTGAAGCTTACGACATCGGCAGCTCTTGTGAGCCTGGTGACGAATTCGAAGAAGGTGCGTCAATAATCGCCTTCACACGTCAAACGTCATCAGAAACGTAACTGCTTGGGGAAATGAGCATCTCTGATGCCTGCACCATTTGATGACGTTGCGCAAGGAATGGTGGTGAGGTGAGCAGCGAAGCTGATGGGGAGATGGATTGACGTACAGTTGCCCGCTGCCTGCCCGCTGCCCCAACAGTTGTATCTGGCCAGATTTTTTACAGTACTGTACAGTGGCAAGATGGACGAATTGTCCAGGTACGGAAACGATGCAGCTTTTGGCTCAAAAAGCAGAACCACAGAGGGTGAGTGCCTTCACTCGTTCTTTTGGAAATCACTTACTGTTACACCTAACCCTCGCCAATTTCACGCCCTGCAACTTGTTTCGGAAAGCACCCTGAACCCGATGTTGGCTTGTCCGATGAGCTCCCCGAATTTAAAGGCTATAAAAAACTCAGACTATTGTCGATATTTATAAAACTCCGCGCTTCTGCTTGGGAAAAACGACCATAGTTTTATTGCGACCCGTTTTGGCCCCTCCAACCCGTCTGAGACGTCTGAAACGGACCCTCTTTAAACCGAAAGCATTCAAAACAACCCTTTAATATCGGGTAAGTCAAATAATTACACAGGGGGTGCATTTGGCCATAGTGAAGTTGGCGCGGCCATAGTGAAATTGTACCGCCCCTGGGCAGCATAATCTTTGCTCTCGAAACTGCTCGCACCTTTCTGCCCACGTGTCAAACACCAAGAATACTGCATGCTGAGTGTGTCGCCATTGTGGTTTCGGTTATACGTACAAATCGGCATGTAGTAGCCCAAGAGCGGAAGTCACATTTAGCATAAGCGTCATCCCAATTAAAGTTACATCTAGCAACCGCCATGCTTGTACAGCATTTAGTACAATGCATAGCATATTATGCAATTATGCAACAGATCAGCCTCCTGTAATCCCTTGTCAACTCTCCATCAACGACTGGGGTATCCCTAATTGCTAGAATGCCTTACCATGTGGATACGAAGAATGAAAATTTTGGCAACCGCGGGTCACCATGGTACGCCCATGCTGACCTACTTCAACCTAAAGAGTTGTCACATCCTAAGAAAAACAATTATGCATACTTATTTAGTATAGTGGCGTCAGCAGCAGCTGGTGGTGGTGCAGGGCAAGCCAACCACAATGGCATGCACTCCTGCCAGACAACTGAGTTCAGTTGAAGTGCCATGGCATTGGGAGAACTACACTGGACCAAAGTGATGGCCAGGAGATGGAAGTTGGAATAGGGAATTCCTAGATGCAGGTCAATGGGAATTGACGAAACAGGGTTGGAGTCAGGTAAGGCACTTGGCTGGTATAACTGGTTCAACCTTCCTTGGGTAAGAATGTCGGCACCTTATGTTGACGAATCAAGCCTTATCAGTGATTTTTATTCGCGAATCACCATGCCGTAGCGAATTTGTCGAGGCTGCTGTTCACGCTGACATGGCGCCGCAGCGATCTTGCCATCCTTCGCTCACGGTAACCAGATACATTTCGCACAGCTTCCAGCTTCACATCGCGAGAACTCCTCTTGCTTACTTCATCCCATACGGCAGTCGCCAACCCGCCCTGCGGTGACCCTTTCCGCGGCGATCCCGCTTGCCGCAAGTCCAAACCACCCTGCGGTGACTCGAGAGCCGTTGATTCGCACAAAGGATCGAGAACCGTTGATTCGCACGTAGACTGCAGGGGGAACTCGGCGCTTCGGGACCCGCATTTAGGCGAAGTGCGGCGCGACCAACGCTTATTAGTATTAGCAGGGTAGGCTGCAGCGGAACGGGGTTTGTCATAGAAGCTTAGGTCATCTCGCAAGCTCGGAACGAACGCTGATCTTCCAACCGCGGCGCTGCTGCTGCTGCTCCCACTCGGGCCGCTATCAGATGACTTGCAAGGCCCCGAAAAAGCCGCACACCTTCCGCTTCCGCTGCAGTGCATGCTAGAACAGCACGCGGCAGATTTCGACCTAGGAATTGCCGATCTACCTGTTGTCGTCTCCGTTCCGAGGTCTTTCCGCGTCGATGCAGTTGGATCCAGCGTCCTGCCGCCGATTGACGGTCCGCTTTTGTTGCTACCAGATTTTGCGGAATGCTTTTCGCTGCCCCATCGGAAACCCCAGAAGTCGCTTCGCGATTTGTCGTGGTACTTCCGCCTTAGGCGGTACAAGTCACGTGTCTCGCGCTGGCTCAGCCCGATTTCTTCCGTTGCTGCTGCCGTTCCCGCCGTTGCCGTCGCTGCCGTTGATGCTGTCGCTGAGGCAGGGTTCTCTTCAGGTGCGTCCGCGAACCGGCCAGACTCGGGTTTCCGAAGCTCCGATTTGAGAAGTTCAGATCCACAAATTTTTGAACCTGCTGCGCAGGTAGAAGTACCGACTGCAGATTCGTCCAGATTGCATCCCTCCATGGACGACCAGGACCGTTCGATCAAGTACACGAACTCCTGGCATCGGACGGCGCTCAGCTCTCGCTGCGTATCCAGAATACGAAGCTTCCCCTGCAGCGCCTCCAGCTCCAGCTCCTCCGCCAGGGAGCGCGGGGAGAGCTTCCCCCCCGCTCGCAAACTGGCGCAGGGGGAAGAGCTTGCGGCGGAGCTTCCGCCGCTCCGCGCACGCCGTTTTTCCGCCTTTGGCTCGGACTTTCCGCCACTCCGGGGTGTCTCTTCATGGAGCGGAGGGGTGATGACCCGCGGCGGTGGAGAGTCCGTAGCAGCAGCACTCGGACCAATCAAACCAATCGCATTGATCGTTTCCGTGGTTTCAATGGTTTCATCCATATTGCTGATTGCGTCCATAGTACTACTAGCACCACTGAGGAAAGTGCTTACTGATAACTCTGCTGTTTCGGCGGATAGTATTGTCGTTGCGTGTCTGGTGCTCGGCGGGTGAACCGACGTCGCAGCCATGGATCACGAGCTTTGAAACTTATGCACTTGGATGGGAATCTCCAAACAAAAAGACTGTCCGAGTCGCCTCGAGAATGCTGATGATGCGATAAGAGGGACGGTTTCGGTGTGTAGTAAGCTCTCTCTGGATTCTGATTGTCAGGCGGCTCAAAGGGTGGGGGGGGGGGGGGTTTATCGTCAGGCCACTCTAACCTTCGAAACCTGGTCACTCGATGTTGAGAATATCTGACGCCTATTTCTCAATTTATATAACTAGAGCTGACTACAACTTTAAGACTATCGACAACCGTGGCGTCAGCAAAGCTTGTAAGCTGACAAACTGCAATGAAGCCGATAAGTAACGGAAACCAGACTGACTTTCCGTCTTCTTTTGCCACTTGAAGCTATCACTAGAATGTTCGGGCGATGCTGCTAAATCTACCTGAATGTTGCCAGGCTGCTTCGACGCTATCAGATCCAAGGACGCCGAACACTGCAAGCCTCTCGAGTCTAGATGCTTTAGTTATTGGCTAAGAACCTATCGTGCTGAGGCGCTTCGCTGCAGCTATGGATGGGGGTATTGCTGCTCGCGTGCCTGGTCAGCGATTTGTATTAGCAGACCCCTGCTACTAAGCTCCTTCCCGACCCGAAGATGGTATATTCCCGCGTTTGCCGGCTTAGCTGGCGTGGGAGAGACTGCGTGCGGTTCTCCCTCGTGTCTGCTAAACAGTGGGAGAATGATTCGGAAGACCAATGAGAACAAGCGCACGACTTCTGCGGCTTCGTCCTTCGCAGCGATCATCACCTTGGATTGGTCTCCCTCACTTCGTTGCTATTCCCCTCCTTGCAGTCGAAGATAGAAATGCAGCATGCGAAAGGTGAATACAGAGCAGTGCGCACTCGAAGACGAGCGCGTCGCAGGCTGCCAGCCTGGCTGTCGATGTACAGTAGAGGCAGTCCTAAGGGAGTCAGCGCGACGACGCGGCGAGTGCGGGAGCATAGGTTGCCCGGCATTTAACGCGGCATGACGGCATCGCGTGTACAGTAAATGCGGTTTTGCGGAAGCGCTTTTTCCTTTACACGCAGGAGCTGTCACACGCGTGACCACGAGGAAAAAACAAGAAAAACTTCTCGATGTTTGTACAGTTCTGTGGGTGGCTCCTCCTAGCGTTCAGTGTTCAGATCACGCTGTTCCAGTTCTTGAGATTCAAATCAGCAAGCGCTGCACTGCAGAGCATTGAGCAATGCAGCTTGCTTGATTTGAATCTCAAGAGTGGTGTGGTGGTGTGGTCGTGGAGAGGGAGGGGAGTAGGGAAGGAGATGAGAGACTGAGGGCGGGTAGGGTTTTTTGCGAATACGTAAATTGTTGGACCGCCTGAAGATCGTGAGTCGGGCGGGATCGGAAGGCGGGACGGCTGACCGGTTACGAAAGGGAAATGCTGCTGTTTGCGCGAGATTTCATGTCGTGAACTCGCGGTCGTGTTCATTGTGATGTACGTAACCTTGGTGGTAACCTTCAACTGGGGAGGAGGAAAGCGGCAGTTGAATGGAGGGAGGTGAAACGACAGAGAGTAGGCTCGTTTCGAAAGAAAAGCGAATTATTTTGTACGGGAAGGGGTTTGAGAACAGGGGAACGTGTGGAGGGAAGTCGCCGCAGAGAAAAGCAGCATTACCTCTGCACCACACCCGGGTGCTCTAGTTCAAGTCATAAGTGGGGTGGTGTTGTCAAACTTGGGGGTGGTCGTCTCACAAACGATTCCTGTTGGGTATGATCCCAGAGCACCCGGTCTCATGTAAACCGCGCGCTTCTGAGAATACGCCTTCAAATACAGGTGATGCCCAACCGATGCTCGATTGGAGCAAACAAGATGCCACGACACGACACAAAGTCATTGGCCTGTAAGGCGATTTGCAATTTCACACGCGGAGCCAATCAGGAGTGGACTTGAGCCGTTACAGTAGTAGTGATCCCACACCGTGGTGTCAGAGACTTCGTGTTACTGAATGCACGGCCGAGATGATCTCATCGGGATATGCGCGAGTCGCAGATGAGTCCTCAGTCGGAAGTTGAGATCTGAAGGGTGCAACATTTTCGGGTTTGATTTGTGCAAGATATCATTTCGGCAACGCTAGGAGCAAGCGTCACTTCACGACGAGCTAAGTGCTGGAGGTGTCGCAACGTACAGACGAAGAGCGTTACTGACGATTTGAACACAGCAGGATTTTCTCATCTTCGAGAAAGATGCGAACATTACGACGACGTGTAACGGGTTGGCGGCATTCTTCTGGCATAGTATGCTGCACTCAGTCTTGTCAAAGTGATTAGTAGAAATGAACCGCAATGCTACACCTACTGGTTACATTACCACGTCATAAAAGTGCCACATGTTCAAAGAAAGTTCCCATCTTCAACATTTGGCATCCCTCTAACAGACACCTTTTGGAGAGTAAATATAATGCCATCCAAAAGCAGGAAATAGTTGTACTCCTAGAATTGTGCTCTTTATTAATGTATCATATTCACATCATTACATCACAACATTGTGCAGTTTCACCATACAGTGCACATAACCGGGTTGAAGACGTTGAATTGTTTATATAGTACAATGCTCAGACAGTGACACATACCGGCTGTTTATGTGCGGTTGCACCGTATAACACTACACTTAACGTGGCCTCTGAACACCCTTGATTTTGCAATACGCAAACAGGGCTGAACCCATGAATCTCATGATTTGTCCTATGGTATTGCCCTGCACAATCACATCCAATAGTGAAAAGAACACACATGAGAGAGCACGCAAATATCATGCAGCAACACAATACAAGGAACCAAGCATTGAAAAATGTTGGACACCTCCTCCTCGTTCTGCACACCTCCTACTCCTCCTTTTGCACACACCTCCTCCTCCTTCTGCACGCCTCCTCCTTCCCATGAAAGAACCCCTTCTCGCACATAACTCCCTTTCACTACAAGAAACATCCAAGAAAAACATTGTACTCACAAAAGAAACCCCTTTACAAGTAGGTAGGTAGAAATCTATCCCACCATACAAATCCCCCTTATACTAATCCCCCTTCTCACACAATTCCCCTCTCCCCCACCCTCTCCCTTGCCTCTCTCACCCTTGCCACTCACCACATCAAATGGCAGGCCCAGGGTTGTCGCTAGGATCTAAGGGTGGCTGATGGAGCAGACGGGCCCTTCGGGCCCGTCTGCTTCATCAGTAGGATGAGTGCTTCCCTATCTGTTTGATCAGGATTTTTCAAAATCTCTGTCTGGTGTGTCAGACCACGGTGCACTTGCATTTCTGTTTTTCCTTTGGGAGTATACTGGCATTAGCTGAAATCACTCACCAGTTCCGAAAAGAACTATCACATCACAAGAGTATATTATTCAACTTCAAACTAGGTGTTACAATACCTCTAGTCTACTCTACTCTACTCAGTATCAGACTCAAGCGCCACTGTGGCACGGACATCAAGCCCATTATCGTCATCACTATCACTGTCGTCCGACACGGCTACAGCTGCACTTGCCTTGCCCTTCTTAGAGGTCCTCCTCCTTACCACGTCTTCATCATCGTCGTCTTTATTGGAGGCAGCAGCTGACGTTCCTCTCTCAGCCTTCTGCTTAGGGGCTCTCTCTGGAGTGTCCTTGGTCGTCACTTCCTTAGCAGGGCGCCTCTTCTTTGCCCCCCTCCAGGCGGCCACCACGTCGTCCTAGTTCGGCTCGTACTGCAGGAGCGACCCGACATCAAATCCGCCAGGCGTGTGTTGCACAGATTACCGCGGAGCCATGATTTGATTATGTTTTGCCTCGAGAAGCCGCGCTCGCACTCGACGGTGCTCAACGGCAGCACGGCGAGAGCGATCCAGATGCGGACCATGTTGGGGTAGCTCGTCTCCCAGTCTTCACTGCGCAACATGTGCTTGAGGCCGGCGTGGAATGTCTGGTCCTTGTACTGCGAGGCCATCATCTTGGTGAATGGCACCAGTTCCCGTCCCGCCTTTTTCCAGCTCACTCCTGCTCACGCACAGTAGCAAGTACACGAGGGGGGGGGGGCGACGGGGAGGTAAGCCTTTGGGAACATAACACCGAGTGTGTAACCTTGACGCACTCCAGAGACACACACCTACCTGGAAGTACGCACTTCTCCGCACTGAACAGCTTGCGGAGAGACTGGAACCAGGCTGCGCAGAGGCGGTCTCTCTTCGCGCAACCCTCGGGGTACGCGTCAGGCAGGAAAAGCTTCGCTCCAGTGAGGGTGTCTAGGCTCTCCATCCGCTTCAGAAGGTGCTTTACAACTTCCTGCGCAAAAAGGCGGGTAACAGTGATGCAAGAATCAATGTCTCCCTTGGACTTCTGACCCTTGATGGCGTCCTCGTGCAGCTTGAAAGTGTGGGTGACGGGACTTCCCTCCCCATCCATGCCTTCGACAGTCACCTCCCACTTGTTCAACGGTCCGTGCTTCTCCAAAAACTCTGTGAGCAACTCGCTATCCTCAGCGTAGTTGACACCGTGCTCGATGTATCATTGCTTCAGCTTGTCGCACGTGTTGTGGACCATTGATGCCACCCGGGTGATGTCCACCTGCACACAGCCAGAAGCAGTAGTCAGAGACGCTAGTATGCATAAACATCAGCACGGACCTCACAAGTGCTCACCGTGCGCCGTTGAAACTTGAGATTCAGCTCGTTGAGCAGTTTCAGCACAACTGCCAGGAAAAACAGGAAGAAGTGAAACTTGAAGCTTGAGACTGTCGCGTAGGCCTTCTTGTCGTGCTCCCACAACACCACTATTGCCGCCGGTAGAACTGCCACGAGCCTCCGAATCGCGTCGCCACGCGCCAGCCATCGAACGTCTTTAAACCCCTGCACCTCCAGAGACGTCTCGTGCAGGATGTGTTGGAGTTCCATGAACCGCGTGTGCAAGACGATGCTCCTCCCCAAGTTCTCTGCGATGCTCCGCACGACCGTGTCGACCATGTTGAGGTTGGGCACCGCCTCCGCCGCGTCCTTCGCGGCGAGAGCCTCCCTGCATGTGTGCGAAAACAAAGGTTCAGAGCACTGCAACAAGTGTGACAACAAAATGATAAACAACCAACACACAAATGTGGACAACAGACCTGTGAGCGATGCAGTGGCACGTCACCAGGTGTAGAACTCGCAGTTTCAGCTGTGTCGCCACTCCAGCCTGTGCACCCCGCATCACGCTCGCGCCATCCGTACTTATGCCCGACAATTTCATGATGTCGACGCCTGTGACGGCCAAATGGGCGAGAAGTACCGTCAACAGAGACGTCGCGTCGCACTTCTCGACTGTCAGGTGCCCAAACAGCTCGGTGACGACCTCGGCGTCGCGAATGAAGCTCAGATAGACGATCATCTGCTTGCCTCTGCGCCGGTCGGTACTCTCGTCGAGTTGAATGCCTAGGAACGGAGACGCCTGGATGTGGCGCATCTGCTGCAGCTTAAGGTTGGTGACGATCGCTTCAGTTATTTCACGAAAGCCGTACCTGTACGTCACAGACAAGGTGGTATTAGTCGTAGTGACTCCAGAAACACAAAACAAGAACGTTTCATCACTCACGCTGACTGGTATGTCCCTATGGCCTTGTCCGGGATGTGCGGCGTCTGAAGCTCGGCCAACAGGCGAACAAGATCGACAAAAAGGGAGATGGGTGAATCGGATTTGCAGATAAAGAGCACGACTAGCATCAGTTGTTTCAGCCCCGACGTCTCGTTGTCGTCGTTCTCGAATTCCTCAATGCCCCGTTGGTCAACCTTACCGCCTTCAGCGCGAAGCTTGGCATTGACGGCGTCCTGATGCTTCCTGCTGAGCGCGTGCTTCCGCATCGTTTGCCGCTGGATATCAACGCCTCCTTCGCCAAGTTTACCGAACTTCCAGTGGGCAGGGCCGTGAGCCATGCATATGCTGCACTTCATGCACGGCGTCCCGTCCTTCCTCTGCGTGATAATCAGCCACTTGAACTTGTCGTGCCAATATTCCTTCGACAGCTCGTGGAGCTTCTCCATTAGCGCGTCAGGATCAGGGACATGGATGGTGTTCCTGGAAGGCCCAGGATCACCTGTCTGTTGAGCTGCTGGTGGAGTTGATGTATCACCTACTCTAGGCGCTGTGGTGGGGCGTGCCACGATGCGGACGTGTGGAACCCCTGTCTTAGCAATCCGCAGTGTGCTCTGGGTAAATCGGCCTGCCTTGGGGAATCGGGGCACGGCAGTACCACGTGAAGTGCTAGGCGCCGCTTGCGATCTAGGATTCGGTGTATTCCGTGTAGAGGAACTAGGGGAGACGGGCGGTGTGCTGCTGAAAGCCCGTCTAGCATTAACAGCATTAACATCCTGCCGATTCGGGGATGAAGCCACTGGAACGCGTGTCGGCGAAGACGAGCCTAACACGGCGGCAGGCTGGGTGCGTCGTCGGAAATCTAGGCCTGTGACTGGTGGTTTGGGCCGTGGGGAGGGTGATTCAGCAGCTTCCGTGTCGTCCGCCATGGCGAGAAGGCGGACTGACGTGACTACGAATAGAATTGGTGTAATCGCGGTGAAAATGGCTGGGTTGGGCGTTTGTAAGAGATGCTTGGAGAAGACGGACCCCCCGAAACCCCAACGCCTGACCTCACACCCTAGTTGACGAAGCGCGCATGGCTGTAGAAAACTGTGGGTGGCACCACTTGACTGTGGTGATCCCGTAGCGCACTTCCTGAACCTTCGGCAGGCGCCGAATTTGTGGGTTTGTGGTGCTGGATGGATGACTGTTGTACTAAACTAACCAATCCCACACTTGTGACAGGCCACGTACGACACAAACGGTCATGCGTGGGCAAGTCGTGACGCAGAACCTAACTGTTTGCCTGTTGCAGCAGCATTTTGTTGCTGTGGTGGCGAAAGATACACGTGGGAGCACGGGGGGCGAAATGTATGATGCATACATTCCGGTAATCAAGGGGAAGCACCCACACCCCGCCTTGTTAACGCGTGAATCACGCCCAAGGGTAGAAAGATCCGGTAACAGACGAAATCGGAATGTGTACCTGATGAATCAGATGAACATGGAATATGTATCTGATGGATAAGATACAGCTGACAAGGCATTTCTGAATGAACAGATTTCACTATGTGCTAATTTCTGAACTATCAGATTAAATAAAAAAATAGCCTTCAAATATAGGACAAACAGACAAAAAATTTCTGCTAGCGACAACCCTGGGCAGGCCTCCAAAGAGAGCCCAACCGATCCCAACCGTTCCTAAATCCTGCACACACCAGTCCAAAGGGGGAAGTGAGCAAGCAGTAATGGCATTTCTGTTAAAAACTGCGCGGTTTCATTGATACTAGCTTGTCACTCCTTGACTTTCTAGTCTGAAGAGGGAAGTGAGCATCTGGGAAGTGAGTATCTGGGAAGTGAATATCTGGGAAGTCAGTATTTGGGAAGTGAGTATCTCGGAAGTGAGTATATGGGAAGTATCTAATAAGTGCATTGAGGTTAACTGTGGCGTTGAGACTAGCTTGTGAAACTGTAGCATTTAGACTAGCTTGTGAAACTGTATCGTTGAGACTAGCTTGTGAAACTGTGGCCTTGAGACTAGCTTGTGACCCTCGTTTGAGACGACCCAAAAGTCGTCTTGAGACTAACTTGTGACCTTCCCTGCTATTTCCATTCCAGTCAATAAGGGGAGGGAGGGAGGGAGCATACGGTAGTTTAGAAGATGATCATGTTGTGAGGGTTCAGATGAACTCTAGAGACCCATAGATACGAGTGTTGAGACGTCTCAAAACTCTTTTCAGACGCCTCAAAACTCTAGAGGCTCATATATAAAAACCATTGTTAAGCACGGTTTCAGCCACTGATACACTCGGGGGAATTCCCGCACTCCACACCTTGATGCTACCACCACACACCTTGATGTTACCACCACACCCGTTGGTGCTACCGCCACGCACCTTCAAATTGCCGCACATGTTTTGAGTGAGGGCAGATTTGAGAGAGGTGTTGAAAAACACAGTGCAGTTGACACACCTTGATGTTACCACAATGCGCACCTTGATGCTAGCGCCACACACCTTGAGATTGCCGCACATGTTTTGAGTGAGGGCAAAATTAAGGGAGGTGTTGAGAAACACCGTGTAGTTGAGTGTAAAGGTCATGAGACATGACATCGACAGCACCACCTGGTGGATGGGAGGAAGGGGGGGAAGGGCAGGAGGGAGGGCATGTGTCTCTGTTGTGCCTCCGATGGTGAAGTTGAGTGCAAAGGCCATGAGACAAGACATTGACAGCAGCACCTGGTGCATGGGAGCAGGAAAAGAAAGGGGGGAGGGGAGGGAATGTTTTGAAAACTGAGCGCAATGTGGTTACAGCACATCGAGTGCAAACGCCATGAGGCACGACATAAATAGAACCACGTGATGGGCAGGTGGGTGAGGGGTGGGAGGGAGGGGTGGGAAGGAGGGGTGGGAAGGAGGGGTGGGAAGGAGGGGTGTGGGAGATGTGGGCGCTTGTGCTCTGATTGCATCACGAGCTGCCAAAGGGGGTGTAGTTGAGAGCTAAGGCCATGAGGCATGACATCAACAGCACCACGTGATGGGCAGGTGGGTGAGGGGTGGAAGGGAGGGGTGGGGGGGATGTGGGCGCTTGTGCTCTGATTGCACACACCAACCCAGCAGGAAAGCAGGGTCAAGCAGCGCAGGGAATGCGAGCGCCCGTTGAATCTCCCCCGAGAGGAACGTCCAAAGGAGGAGAGGGGGGGGGGGGAGTAGGGGTTGCAGAGAAAAACGCCCCATGCACCACACACCAACGCACCATACACCAACCCACCAGGAAAGCGGGGTCAAGCAGCGCAGGGAACGTGAGCGCTCCTTGAATCTCCCCCGAGACGAACGTCCAGAGGAGCAGCGAGGGTATGCAGTTGATTCCTGGCATGTAGAGAAAGACAGAGGAGATGATGCCTGGCAGACAGGCAGATCGAGTGGGGAGGGATGGTGCATGCGGGGAGGGATGGCGCGTGCTGGGATGGATGATGCGTGCGGGGAGGGATGGCGCGTGCTGGGATGGATGATGCGTGCGGGGAGGGATGGCGCGTGCTGGGATGGATGATGCGTGCGGGGAGGGATGGCGCGTGCTGGGATGGATGATGCGTGTGGGGAGGGATGGCGCGTGCTGGGATGGATGATGCGTGCGGGGAGGGATGGCGCGTGCTGGGATGGATGATGCGTGCGGGGAGGGATGGCGCGTGCTGGGATGGATGATGCGTGCAGGGAGGGATGGCGCGTGCTAGGATGGATGATGCGTGCGGGGAGGGATGGCGCGTGCTGGGAGGGATGGTGTATGCTGGGAGGGATGGAGCGTGCTGGGAGGGATGGAACCTGAATTTCCTTGCTACTTGGCACGTGGCACATATGGCACATGGCATGTGGCACATGGCACACGGCACACGGCACGCGTGGATGGTGGGGATGGTGTAGCATGCTCTAAAGTTGAAAGCACGTGCTATGCAGGCCCACCATTGGACCACATGAGGCCGAAACTGCTGAGGACAGTGGCCTTGCCTAGCGTTGCAATAAGAGTGCGGTACAGAGCGGTGGTGATGTTGGAACATGCTCTTAAGTTGAGGGGACATGCAATGAAAGGAGCACTCACCATTGGACCACATGAGGTCGGACCTGTAAAGCCCAGTGGCCTTGCCAAGCCTTGCAATGAAGGCGCGGTAAAGAGTGGTGGACAAAGGTGGTAATGGTGGAGCATGCTCTTAAGCTGGGAGCACATGCAACGCAGGCTCACCATTGGACCACATGAGGCCTAAGCTGTTGACTTTTGAGTCGACTCAAAAGACTGTTGAGGGGGCATGCAATGCAGCACGCACCATTGGACCACATGAGGCTGAAACTATTGAGGCTGGTGGATTTGCCTATCCACGCGATAAGAGTGAGGTACAGAGCGGTGGTTATGTTTGACAGGAGAACGGTTGAGTAGTCGTAGGCCTCGAATGAGAAATCCCTCAATGCTGCCACAAGTGCTCCTGCCACTATGACTGCCACACTGAACGACAGAGAATGGGGGAAGGGAGGAAAGAATTGCGATTGCTACATGCACAGACATGAGATGAGAGATCCCCCCCTACCCTTCCTCCAGTGCTCCCTGTGACTATGCCGGCCACACTGAACTGGAGAGAAGGGGGGAAGGGAGGAAAGAATTGTGATTGCTACATGCACGGCCATGAGTTTGAATGAGAGACTCCCCCCTACCCTGCCGCCAGTGCTCCCTGTGACTATGACGGCCACACTGAACTGGAGAGAAGTGGGGAAGGGAGCACGAGACGTGTGGGGCGGGGGATCAATTCATCACGTGCCTGCGATCAACAAGGCCACGTGAAATCAGAGTGTTTTTGAATTGATCATTGAGACGTCTCAAAAACACTCTAGTTTCATGCGCCTTCTATCAACAAGGTGACTTTTGAGTCGACTCAAAAGTCACCTCGTTACTGCAGAGAAGGGGAGAGCACAAGACGTGCGGCGCGGGGGATCAATTCATATCACGCGCCTGCTATCAACAACGTTAAACACCATGCGCCAATCTGAATGCGTGGCCAGGTGGTTTAGCGTAGCAACACTTAGTGGTTATGAAGAACATAATATCTGATGTAGGGGAGCTTAATTTGATAGAGAGGAGAGGAAAGCACAGTGGTCACAAACTGAATGATATCTAATGTAGGGAAGCTTAATTTGATGTATTGAAGGTTTTTGTAATGTATTGAAGCTTATATTGATGTACTAAAACTTATTTTGACATAGGGAAGCTTATGTTCACCATCAAGCCCACCTGACCAGCGTCTAGGCGGAATGCTGCTTGCTCGCTAGCAGCCGCTCTGTGAGGAGAGTGAAGGTGACTGTGGTGCGTGTGAGTCCACCAGGGTTGTAGAGGAGTATAGAGGGGTGTAGTGCTACCCTCAGCCCCACCCACCTGACGAGCGTGTAGGCGGAGTGCTGCTTGCTCGCTAGCAGCCGCTCTGTGAGGACAGTGAAGGCGACTGTGGTGCGTGTGAGTTCACCAGAGGTGTAGAGGAGTGTAGAGGGGTGTAGTCTCAACCCCACCCACCTAACGAGCGTGTAGGTGGAGTGTTGCTTGCTTGCTAGGAGCCGCTCGGTGAGGAGAGTGAAGGCGACTGTGGTGCACTCAAGTCAACCCCACACACAAGCGCATGCCGTGAGTAGGAGGAGTGTAATGGAGTGTTAAGGAGTGTAGTATAGTGCAACCATTATGCTCGCCATGCTGTTCACCTGTGATTGGAAGGGAATACATGCACATAAACACAGTCAACATGGTAAAATAGACAGTGGTGCGCCTGAGTGCCGTGTACATGGGGATGTTCACCTCCCTTATGCTTGCCATGCTGATCACCTGGGAGTGGGAGTGAATGGAAACACAGACACACACACACACACACACACACATGTAAGGGTGAATGTAACTGTGGTGCGCCTGAGAGCCGTGTACATGGGCACGATCACTCCTCTTATGCTCGCCATGGCGATCACCTGGTGTGAACACACGCATACAGAGCGCGCAAGAGAGACAAGGGTCAGGGCCCCTGTGGTGCAACAGAGTGAAGGTGACTGTGGTGCAACAGAGCGTATGCGACTGTGGTGCAACAGAGGGAAGGTGACTATGGTGCAACAGAGTGAAGGCGACTGTGGTGCGCCTGAGAGCCGTGTACATGGGCACGTTCACCTCCCTTATGCTCGCCATGCTGATCACCTAGGAGTGGGAGGAATCGGGTGAGATACAAAGTGGGTGACGGTGACCGCTGTGGTGCGCCTAAGTGCCGTGTACCCCTTCCCTCCGCCCCTTCCCTCCGCCCCTTCCCTCCGCCCCTTCCCTCCGCCCCTTCCCTCCGCCCCTTCCCTCCGCCCCTTCCGTCCGCCCCTTCCCTCCGCCCCTTCCCTCCGCCCCTTCCCTCCGCCCCTTCCCTCCGCCCCTTCCCTACGCCCCTTCCCTACGCCCCTTCCCTCCACCCCTTACCCCCCAGTCAATAAGGCGAGGCACGCACCACGTTGATCATATAAACCCTAAACCTGCTCCTCCCTCCCTTCTCTCCGTTCCATCCCTTCCCTCCACCCCTTACCCCCCAGTCAACAAGGCGAGGCACGCACCACGTTGAGCATATAAACTCTAATCCTGCTCCTCCATCCCTCCCCTCCGTTCCATCCCTTCCCTCCACCCCTTACCCCCCAGTCAACAAGGCGAGGCACGCACCACGTTGAGCATATAAACTCTAATCCTGCTCCTCCCTCCCTCCCCTCCGTTTCATCCCTTCCCTCAACCCCTTACCCCCCAGTCAACAAGGCGAGGCACGCACCACGTTGAGCATATAAACTCTAATCCTGCTCCTCCCTCCCTCCCCTCCGTTCCATCCCTTCCCTCCACCCCTTACCCCCCAGTCAACAAGGCGAGGCACGCACTATGTTGAGCATGTGAGAGAGGGAGAGAGGCACGAAACAGGCCGTTTGAGAGAGGCAGCACTCGGCCGAGAGTGGGCAGAGGCACGAAAGCACATCGCCCGCCCCTGCTGCTCCCTTTCTACCCTCCCCTCCCTCCCCTCCCTCCCCTCCCTCCCCTCCATCCCCTCCATCCCCTCCCTCCCCTCCCTTCCCTCCCTTCCATCCCCCCCTTCAACGCACCACGTTGAGCATGTAGGAGAGGGAGAGAGGCAGCACTCGGCCGAGGGTTTGCAGAGGCACGAAAGTACTAGAAGCCACGTCGCCTGCAGTGCTTTTGACGCGCCTCAAAAGGAGGCACTTAACATACCACGTTGTCGCCTCCCTTCCCCGCCCCCCCCCCCCCACCCCCCCCCCCTTCCATTTCTTCCCTTCGTTCAACGTACCACGTTGAGCATATACGCGAGGGAGAGAGGCAGCACTCGGCCGAGGGTTTGCAGAGGCACGAAAGCACTAGAGACCACATCGGATGTTGCAGAGCTTTCCGCAAAGGTGAGAACGCCTGCCATGCGCAGCACGGCTAGGAGGGCCGTGAAGGAGAGCATCTGAAGGGATGAAGAAGGGAGGGAGGGGAGGGGGCGAGGGGAGGGAGGAGCATGGTGAGAGAGGCATGACTCATCTCATGAAGGCGAAGGTTAGAACGCCTGCCAATCACAGCACAGCTAGGAGGGCCGTGGCGGAGAGCATCTGAAGGTGAGGGGGGGAGAGGGGGGTGGGGAGAGATGGAGGGAAGATACACAGAGGGATAAGGTGGGGTAGCTGTCTGCGCAGATGAGAACACGTGCCAGGCGCAGCACGGCCAGGAGGGCCATGGTGTTTTGAGACATCTCAAAACCGGGAGGGCCATGGAGGAGAGCATCTGGAGGTGAGGGGGGGAGAGGGGGGTGTGGGGAGAGGGAGGGGGATAGAGGGAGAGAGGAGGAGAGGGGGAGACAGGAAGGAGAGGGAGGGAGGATACCCAAACGATTGATCACTTGCGAAGGGGTTTCGTGTGCGAGCGAGTGAGGAGGTTGGTGTTAAGAGCTTGTTTGGTTTCGTCCCCCATGCAATGCGGGTGGGCCTTGAGGGTTTCATCTTTCCTTTATGGTTTCAGTAAGTGACCATTCGTGATAGAAATGCGGGGCAACGAGTGACTATCCGTGATAGTGCTATGATCATCCGTGATAGATTCGCTAGATTCTATGACCGTTTGCGATTGGCGAAAATACTCTTTTTGGACTCTTTGTTAAGAAACTTTTTGGAATCCTAAATCTGCCAGTTCTCGGTCCGAAATGGCTCTGTGGACGCATGTCTTAAATTTAGCCAGATGGA